TGGTCCACCCCGCAGCTGACCGCCAGACAGCCTCAGCAGCCGCCCAGGAGGCACTTGCCCCACACCAACCAGGTGCTGAGCAGCAGGAAGAGCAGGGCCAGGGCGGCGGCCAGTGCAACCGAGGGCACAAGGTCCGAATCCTGGGCGTCAGCAGCGGCCCCAGGCTGGGGCGCGGCGGGGGCGCCGGACAGCTGAGTACTGGAGAGTGTCTCCGCTCGGGGCCACGGCCGGCCCATGGGTGGGGAGGAGGGCAAGCGAGGGGCCCCCCTCCCACAGAAGAGGTCCAGACTCGGGGAGCAGGAACAAGGGCCCAGGAGGTGCCCCAGAGCCGCCGTTTTCTCTGTAAATGGGATTGACAGAGGATGAACTAACACCTGGCCAGCTGGTGTTCCCGCCCTCCCCTCGCTTCCCCTTGGGATGATGGGGTGATGGTCTGGAAAGGCTGGTTCCACCCCTCGCCCCCTCCGTCACCCGTGCCCCAGTGCCAGGCATCTGGAATGCAGCCCAGCCAGCTCCCGGCACGTGGAAGCAGGCAGACTGGTCTGCAGGGGCCCTTGCCAGCCAGGGCTGCTGCTGGCCGTCCTCACCAGCACCTCATCGCCCCACCGGGAGCCAGGCGAGGCCCAGGAGGAGCGTGCGGGACATGGCAGGCTGTGGGGGATGTGGCGGCCATGGCGGGCCGTGGCCAGGAGGTAGTGGACTCTGGGACCACCCAGCAGCCCACACTCCCCACCCACCAGCTCCTCTTTGCCCTGGGCTGTTGGCGCTTGGCCCCTGCTAGGCTCCAGGAGTTGGGGCTCTCTGCCCCGCCCTCCCAAACGCGGAAGGAGGCTACCTTCAGGCTGGGGGTGCCCACGTTCTCAGCAGGGTCGCAGGATAGGTGCAGACAGCAGCAGCTTCAGCAGGTCGGCCGGGCCAACCCTTCCTGGTTCCTCCATGGGGCGGCGCTGGGCAGAGGGGTGGGGCATGGGGCGCCCAAGCACAAGTCCCCACCCCAGGAGGGTGGAGAACGATAGGCTGGGGGGCTGGGGGAGCCCCAGACAGAGTCACAGCTTCCAGGCCACTGGTAATGACCAAGGAAGGGGGGGAGACCCTCAAGTCCTCTCACAGTTGGAGGGGGCACAAAGGCCTGAGCTGAAGGGAAGCACCCCGGAGAAATAAAGGTGAGTGGGCCAAGTCCCTACCCTGCCCAAGCCCCGGAAGCCGCACCCACGCCCCAACAGCTGCCGCCAGTGTTTAAATCAAGTGGGAAAATAAATAAATGAATGTGAGAAGCTAGAGCAATTCCTTTCCCCATCCCTGGCTCCTCATATGGTTGCCAAGCATGCCAGGCGTAATTCCTGAGTGCAGAGCCAGGAGTAACCCCAAACACCATTGGGTGTAACCCAAAAACCAAACAAAAAGCAAAAAAGGAAATGAAGATGAGCCTCTCCCAGCAGGCCCATGTCAAAGCATAGCTCGCCTGAATATTCACCCAGAGACGCCCTCAAGTACATCCACCTTGGAGACCAGAGATTCCAGCTGCTCCTTTTAGCCTCAAACTGGAACATGTCACCTCCACCACGTCAGGTGCTGTACTGTGTACTGCACCCAGACCTGCACCTCCCTGTCTCCACCACACGAGGGCGCCACACATGGTTGCTGCACACAAGCTTGCACCTCCCCATCTCCACCACACGAGGGCGCTGCAAGCGGCTGCTGCACATAAGCTTGCACCTCCCCGCCTCCACCACATGAGGGCGCCACACATGGTTGCTGCACAGAAGCTTGCACCTCTCCGCCTCCACCACACGAGTATGCTGCACTGTGTGCTGCACACAATCTTGCACCTCCCCACCTCCATACATGAGGGAGCCACACAGTAGTTGCTGCACCCAGGCCTGCACCTCCCTGCCTCCACCACATGAGGGCGCCACACAGTGGTTGCTGCGCTCAAGCTTGCACCTCCCCGCCTCCACCACATGAGGGCGCCAAACTGGTTGCTGCACACAAGCTAGCACCTCCCTGCCTCCACCTAGGAGGGCACACAAACTTGCATGTCCCCACCCCCACTACATGAGGGCACCACACAGTGGTTGCTGCATCCAGGCCTGCACCTTCCTGCCTCCACTACATGAGGGCGCCGCACAAGTGGTTGTTGTGTACAAGCTTGCACCTCCCACCTCCACTACATGAGGGCAGAACACACAGTTGCAGCACACAAGCTTGCACCTCCCGCCTCCACCACATGAGGGCGCCACAGAGTGGTTGCTGCACCCAGGCCTGCACCTTCTGCCTCCACCACATAAGGGCGTCAAACTGGTTGCTGCACTCAAGCTTGCACCTCTCTGTCTCCACAACACGGTGCGCCACACAGTGGTTGCTGCACACAAGCTGCACCTCCCCGCCTCCACCACATGAAGGCGCCACACTGGCTGCTGCGCACAAGCTTGCACCTCTCATCTCAACAGATGAGTGCCTAGCACAGTGGTTGTTGTGCACAAGCTTGCACCTCCCACCCCCACCACATGAAGGCGCCACACATGATTGCTGCACACAAGCTTGCACCTCCATGCCTCCACTACATGAGGACACTGCCCAGTCTTGCTGCACATACAGCCTGCATCTCCCCAGCTCCACCAGGTGGAGGCATTGCCCAGTCCGCCTACATACATAGCTTGCATCTCCCTGTGTCCAACACGTGAGGGCGCTGCATACACTGCATGCCAGGAGAAGTCTGCAGGGCAGCTGTAGCTGGTTGAGGAAAAACTGACTAAAGGCCATTACCATTCTAGATGCTCTCTTCCTCAACTCAGCATTCTAGACTCAGGGAGGGGTGGTGGTGACTGGCACTGGCATAAAAGGACCTTCTAGAAGGATAGAATATATTGCTGGATGGGTATTCTGGTTTCTACAGCACTCGATGTATACATTTAAGATAGGTTCATTTTACCTATTTTATGTAAATGATACTTCTACAAAGCAGATTTCTGTGTGGTGCAGGGCATTGCACCCAGGGCCTCATACATGAAGACAAGAGTCTTTCCCGTGAACCACTCCCTGGACCCGTAAAACTGGTTTAAAAAAACGGGGGACCTGAGCAGATGGGGTGCTTGCCTTGCATGCAGTTGACCGGTTTTGATCCCCGGTGCGCCATATAGTCCCTTGAGCATCTCCGGGTGCAGCCCTAGAGGCCCCAAGAACTGCAGGGGTGGTCCATGGCACTGCCAGACGAGAGCATACCCTTCAGTTGGCTGTGAATCTCTGGCAAGGCCCCTGGGCTCCCCTGCATCACCTGGGGACATGCCCCTCCCCCAGGAAAATAAATTATGAACAGCTGTGTAGCATGAGGGACTAAGAGCCATTTACTGCAGGGCCAGAGACAGGAAAAAACGGGTAGGACACTTGCCTTGCATGCAGCCAAGCAGGGTTTGATCCCCCGCACCACATAGTATCATCAGGGCCCTGCCAGGAGTGATCCTTGAGCACAGAGAAAGGAGTGAGCCCTGAGAACTGCCAGGATTGAGGCCTGAGCACAGAGCCAGGAGTGATCCTTGAGCACAGAGCCAGGAGTGAGCCCTGAGCACTGCCAGGATTGAGGCCTGAGCACAGAGCCAGGAGTCATCCCCAAGCACAGAGCCAGGAGTGAGCCCTGAGCACTGCCAGGATTGAGGCCTGAGCACAGAGCCAGGAGTCCTCCCCGAGCACAGAGTCAGGAGTGAGCCCTGAGCACCTCCAGGCAAGGTCCAGAAACAAAACAAAGATCCAACTGGTTATTGGATCTCCCTGTGTCCCTGCGGTAACAAAATGTTTGAAACAGACCGTGGAGGCCCCAGGGACCCTCTGTGGTCCCCCAGCATTGCTGGGGGGAAACCCCTGAGGACCCAAATGAGACCTGGTGTGCTCACAGTCCATGGGAAATGCACAGAACAGATGGGGATGGGAGATGGGGGGAGAGGTGGAATTCCAGGTTACAATTGTATCTGTCACAAGGTAAACTACCATTTAAAACAAAAATAATGTTGCACCTTTGACAAGCGGTTTGGAAAGGCCCGGCCAGCAGGCGGCTGAGCTGCGCAGGCGGGAAGGAACCTGCTCCTGAGGGGACGCTTCCGGGAATCTGCCGCTTCTGCTTTTCTCATCTTTTAATTTTTTGGGGGTGGGGAAGGGGTGGACACACCCAGCAACGGCTTACTCCTGGCTCTGCCTCAGGCATCACTCCTGGCAGCGCTCAGGGTCCCCTGTGGGATGCTGGAGACCCGGCTCGAATCCGAACCCGGCTGGTCGCGCACAAGGCAAACGCCCTCCCCGCTGTCCTATTGCTCCGACCCTCTGTTTTTCTTGCTTCTAAAATACTCTCATCCGGGTGCTCCCCAAGCCCGTCATTTCCGAACGCAGAAAATCCTGGGCTGGCCCAGAGAGCACCCACCCACCCTTCCCGCCTTCGCTTGGAGCTCCGGGACGCCCCCACCCCGACGCCGCCCCCGACTCAACCCAAGGCCGGGAGGGACACGCGGACCGCGGGGGCGGGGCTGTGTGACACTCAGCCCTGGCCGGGGACTCCCGCAGGCGCGGGGCTCTGGGAGGGACCTCTGGCCACTGAACCAGGCACAGCCTATGCCCAGCACCTGCGCCCGCGCCCGGCCTCCACGGACAGCCAAGACCCGCGTCCCACCCCGACCACCAGCCGCGCGCTCGGCACAGCACCCGCGACCCCCGCACCCACCCGCCGCCCCCGTCCCCATGCCCGCACCCACATCCCGCCGGTCCCGCCGCCGCCCCGCGCCCGCGCGCGCATCCCCACAGTCCCGCCGCCCCGCGCCCGCGCGCACATCCCCACGGTCCCGCCACCGCCCCGCGCCCGCGCGCGCATCCCCACGGTCCCGCCGCCGCCCCGCGCGCCGCACCAGCCTCCGCGCCCGGGGAAGCCCGGCGCCCCGCCCACACCCCGAATCCGCGCCGCCCATTGGCCCGCGCCCTCTGCAGCGCCGTCTCGCAGCCAATCGCAGCCGGAGGCCGGACGCTGCGAGGAGCCGCGCCGCCGACGCCCTGGACAGTCCTGTACCCGGCCCCATTTCTGGGCAGCCCATAGCCCGCGGAGCCCTGAGAGGACAGGCCGGACATGCAGGAGCCCCTGCTGGGAGCCGAAGGCCCGGACTATGACACCTTTTCCGAGAACTCACCCTCGTCCCCCGGCGAGAGCACGCAGGAGCGGTGAGCGCCCTAGGGGGGCCGGGAGCGCCTGGCCGGGGGCTGGGCCCCCGCGGCCGGCAGGGCCCTCCTGTCCCGGGCACGCTGTCCAGTTTCCAGAGCTGACCCCGAGGCCCAGGCCCAGCGCTGACTGGGAGCTGGGGAGGGTAGGGCGCTTGCTTTAGGCCTGCTGGCCAGGCTGGGACTGGCCTCAGGGCAGGCTGCAGACGGCCCCAGGCCCTGGGAATTCCAGAGAATCCCCCGGGCTCGTGTCGGCTATGCCCGCAGCACTGGCCGAGGGTGGCACTCTGGGAGCAGGGTGCTGGAGCTCACCACTGCACCATCCTGCCCCAGGGCCCCGCACAACAAGAGGCTGCTGCTGGCTACCTTTGCAGCCGTGCTGGGCAACTTCACCTTTGGCTACGCCATGGTGTACACGTCACCTGTCCTCCCAGTCCTGGAGCACTCTGCGGACCCCAACCTGAGTTTCACCAAACTCCAGGCATCCTGGTTTGGGGTAAGACGCGTGCTGTGAGCCGGAGGAAGGGACACCTGGCTCTGTCTCCCTCACTCCTCTTTGGTTCACGATCCCACTCTGAATAGGGGAAGTGAGAGGCGGGTGGGAAGGGGCTCAGAGGGCTTCCTGCACGGCCGCAGGGGTGCGGGCCCCAAGCACAGGGACACACTGGGACACTCGGCCTAACCCACCTTGTGACTTCTGGGCTCTTGGAGACTGCTTTGTCCAGCGTCACTAGCAGCTCCTGCCCACCCCTCCCTGAGCAGGGCTCCAGGAACTCCCCCAGACCGTCCGGCCCTGGGGTCCTGTCCCAGGACTCTCTGTCTGGAGGCCCTCGCCTCAGCCCCTCCCAGAACAGGCCTCCCTGCCAGGACAGTTCCCCCAGGGCGGGGCTACAGGCCGTTTGGTATCCCCTGGGGACGGAAGGCTCTCTACCTGCCAGACAGGCACTGAGGAGGCAGAGGCGCCCATGCAGCTGACTGGTATGGACCCCGGGCAGGGCCAGCCCTGACGCAGGTGTGCCCCACAGGCCATCTTCACCCTGGGGGCGGCGGCAGGTGGCCTCAGCTCCATGGCCCTCAGCGACCTTCTGGGCCGCAAGCTCAGCATCATGTTCTCGGCCGTGCCCTCAGCCGTCGGCTACATCCTCATGGCGAGCGCGCATGGCCGCTGGGCACTGCTGCTTGGCCGGGCGCTGACAGGCTTCGCCGGGGGCCTCACGGCCGCCTGCATCCCGGTAAGAGCAGGACCACCCGCCCGGGGCTGGGGGTGCCCCCTGGCCAAGGCCTCCAGAGGCGATAGAACACGCCTGTGACCCCTGTAGCTGCTGGTCACGTGCCTCCTTCAGGGAAGTCGGCTGTGGGGAACCCCTTGCCCACCTCACTACTTCCCAAACTTCCCAGTCAAGCCCTCTCAGCCTCCAGCTTGCTCAATCACAGAAAATCCACGATGAGCAACAGAGAGGGGGAAGTGGGCGGCCTCTCCCACCGCACCCCACCCTGCTCTGCTCTGCGCAGGGGTGAGGGGCCTGAGGCCCCCAGGGAGGGAGCAGTCAGCCGGGGGCCCTGCGCTCCTGCTGCTCCCGCCCAATTAGGGGGCTGCGCCTAAGGACCCCACCGGGACAAGAGCTCCCTCTGCAGGCCAGCTGCTCCAGCCCCATCCAGAACGGGCCTGGGGGTGTCTTGCAGGTCTACGTGTCTGAGATCGCGCCCCCGGGGATCCGTGGGGCTCTGGGGGCCACGCCGCAGCTGATGGCGGTGTTCGGGTCACTGTTGCTCTATGCCCTGGGTGAGTAGCCTCCGGCCGCGGGGGCCCACACAGGCCCGGTCAGGAGGCCAGCAGCACTAACGGACCACTGACACCTCTCGGGGCCAGCAGAGAGTCCCTGCAGGGTGGCCGTGCGGAGCAGGGGGGAGGCGGGAGGGGGGAGGGAGGGGGGCTGGAGGCCCAACCGGCAGTGCCCTGCCTTCCTCAGGCCTCCTGCTGCCGTGGCGCTGGCTGGCCGTGGCCGGGGAGGGCCCGGTGCTCCTCATGGTGCTGCTGCTCAGTTTCATGCCCAACTCCCCGCGCTTCCTGCTGACACGGGGCCGGGACGAGGAGGCACGGCGGGCGCTGGGCTGGCTGCGCGGGGCCCGGGCCGACGTGCGCTGGGAGTTCCAGCAGATCCAGGACAACGTCCGGAGACAGGTGGGGACAGGCACCGGCCAGGTGGCTCCATCCCGGGGGCCCTTTCCCGGGAGCAGGGCGGCCCAGAGCAGCCCCTGAGCCGCGGCCCCGTCTGCAGAGCAGCCACCTGTCATGGGCCGAGGCCCGGGACCCCGCCGTGTGCCGCCCCATCGCCATCGCCGTGCTCATGCGGCTCCTGCAGCAGCTGACGGGCATCACCCCCATCCTCGTCTACCTGCAGCCCATTTTCGAGAGCACGATCGTGCTGCTGGTGAGTGGACGCAGGACCTGCCCCGAAGGGAGCGCAGAGCAGTGGGGAGGCCGAGCGCTGGCCCGGAAACCTCACTTCCTCTGCAGCGCGCAGCCCGCGCCTGGGCGATGAGATTTGCAGATTGATGGGCAGCGCGGGGAGGGGGGGCGGAGTGGGACAGGCGCAGCAGACTGGTGCCCTCTGCCCTGTGTCCCCCACAGCGCCCGGAGAACGACGCGGCCATCGTGGGCGCCGTGCGGCTCTTCTCTGTGCTGGTTGCCGCCCTCACCATGGACCTGGCCGGCCGCAAGCTGCTGCTGTTCATCTCAGGTGAGCCGCTGCCCCGCTCACTCCCACCCTGCACTCTGGGTAGCAGGGTGCCCTGGGTGCCAGGCTGCGCAAGGTGCCGTAGGGTGCTGTGGGCTGTAGGGCGGGTACCCTGGGTGTCGTTGGGTGTCGTGGGCTGCCTGCGGCTCTTTGTGAGGACGTGGGCTGCCACCCTGGAGAAGCAGCTGGTTTAGCGTCATGGCCCCTCGGGGCTGTCCTCTGTCCACAGCGACCATCATGTTCGCTGCCAACCTGACCCTGGGACTCTACATCCACTTCAACCCCAGGCCGCTGAGCCCCAACAGCACAGTGAACCTTGAGGGCGGTCCCCTGGGGGCCCCCACACTGCCCCTGGCCACGCTGTCCGACCCCCTCAGCCTAGTGCCTCTGCTGGCTGCCATGCTCTTCATCTTGGGTAGGTACAGACGGGGCGTAGGGCAGAGGGGTGGTGTGAGGACCCCCAGCCTGTCTCTCCCCTGCAGGCTACGCCATGGGCTGGGGGCCCATCACTTGGCTCCTCATGTCAGAAATTCTGCCGCTGCGGGCGCGCGGCGTGGCCTCGGGGCTGTGCGTGCTGGTCAGCTGGCTCACCGCCTTCGCCCTCACCATGTCCTTCCAGCTGGTGGTGGTGAGTGCCGAGTGGTGCTGGGGCCCCCTCGGATGCTCTCCCCCCTTAGACGCCCACAGGCCATGGGGACACCAGCTCCTTGGCTCCAGTGGGACGGTGGAACCAGCCTGGAACTCTGCCGACAGCCCAGGAAGCCCCCCAAGCTGGCCTCAGCTGTCTGCCCACAGACCAGCTACATACAAGTGTCACATGTCTTCATGACACATACATGTAGGACACAGACACGGGCACATGTTCACACGTGTACACATGCGTAACAATTCCCATAGGCATGAGCACATACATGTAGACATGACCACATATACATTCACGCAGGCATGTAGACACAGGCCTATGCACACACATATGCAGACACCTGCACACAGAATGCACACAGAAACACATATGCATGCTTCTTGTGCACATACATGCCGACCTGAGCATGCATATTCACAGATATAATGCAGATGGGTGCATGTGTACTCACGCACATGAGTGTGTACTCACCAACGTGATTCACATACATGCTGGCATATATACTCACATGCAGGAGCACAGAGGCATGTAGACACACGCTCAGATATACACCTTACTCAGACATGTACACGCTCACACTCAGACCGTGTGTAGCACCCTCGAGGGTAGGCGCACACACAACACGCACATATGCTCCTGTGCAGGCATGCACACACACGCACACACGCATGTGCATTCAGTTCCTGCCTGGAAAACCCCACCTCCGGATGTGAGCTCCCAGCTGGCCCTGGACCAACCGGAGGGGCATTGGAGTGGCACGGCAGAGCTGGTGGGCGGGAGGACAGGGCAGACCTCGGGGCCTCGGGCGAGGAGGGGGTGGCCGAGCCCAGATGAGAGGGCGAATCTCAGGGCCCGGGTCTGCCGCACGCAGAGGGGCCCCCAGGTGCGGAAGGGCCAGGCAATTGGTCCCTGGATGGTGACAGGCCTCCTCGCCTCCAGAAAGCCATGGGTCTGCAAGTCCCCTTCTTCTTCTTCGCCACCGTCTGCTTGGTCAACCTGGTGTTCACAGGCTGCTGCGTGCCCGAGACCAGGGGCCGGTCGCTGGAGCAGATCGAGGCCTTCTTCCGCACCGGACACCACTCCTTCGGGCCTTAGGTGAGGCCCGAGTATGGGGGGACAGCGAGGCCTGGTGCCCACGGCAGCTAGGCAAGGAGTTCCCAATGAAACCTGCCCATGGGCACCCGTCGCGGCTGCCCTCCCTGCTGTGATCTGCTCGTGGGTGCCCGTGGCTTCCCCCACGCCGGGAAGTTCTGGGCAGCTGGGCAGGTGCTGTGTGGGTGAGGTCTTACCCCAGCTGTGCCCCCCTGTGCCGGGAAGAGGCCCGGCCCTGCCCCTCCACTCGCTGTAAACTGTTTTCACACAGTTTGTAAAATAAAGATCCGGGCTCGGGCCTAGAGAACTGGGGCTGATCCAGAAGGGGGAGCCCCTACCCGCCAGGCGAGGCCCCACGCTCGCCCACCGCCCCGGCTTCCTCAGGAGAGCAAGGATGTCGGGAGTTTCCCCGGGAGACCCTTGCCAGGGGCGAACAGCAGGTGGCAGCAGAGAGAAGGCAGAGGCTGACCAGGCAACCAGGGAGTCTCTGGGCTTTATTGCTGGAAACTCAAAAGGAAGTCGCCCAGGAGAGCCGCAGTGAGGCGGGCACCGCCCAGACACCCAGCCCCGCCTGCCCCTGCTGCAGGCGGGCGTGTGGCTGCACCGGGAGGTAGAGACAGTCACAGCACACAGGACACAAGCGTACACACGCACACACACGGCCACGTGGCCTGCAGGCCACGTCCTCAGCCCTTGAAAGCCAGCGCTGGCCGGAGGAAGTGGCCCAGAGAGACCATGAAGGCACGTCCTAAGGTGCGGCGCGGGGCAGCTTTGACCTGCAGGTGCCCCCCGCGGCCCCCAGCCCCGCAGGAAAGGGCTCTGGAGGAGCTGACGCTGCGGGGACCTGGTGCCACCACTGGCCGGTCAGCTCAGACCTCCACAGGGGGCTGTGCCCAGTGAGAGGCAGGGGGCAGCACCCGGGACAGGGGGATGGGCTCCCCACACCTTAGCACCAGGGCGGCTCAGCACCCAGCCCAGGGCCCCATGCTGCTGCACCAAGTACTCAAGGCCCCCGGGAGCACCCCGGGAGCACCGTAGGCCACCGAGGAGGGCAGAGGCGGCCTGGACCCAGCACGCGTGTTCCTGCCCCAGCCCCACCTCCCACCCCAAGTCAGGTCAGCTCTGGGGGCCCTGCCTGAGGCCTGGCTGTCCAGCCGAGTGCGGCTGGTAAGTCCCAAGCACTTCCGGGTGTCAGGCTGCTCGAAGGAGCCCCTGGGCCCATCACCTCTTGGCCAGGTGGGGGCGCTGGTGGGTGAGTGGGGGTGCAGGGGCTCAGGGCTCCCCCTCGAGGGTCTCCGTGAGCGTCTCATCAGCCTGTCGCTTCTGCTGCTGCAGCCGAGCGTAGGACACAGCATCACCCCTGGGGACAGAGCAGGCACGTCACATAGAGCACAGCACTTGGGGCACACATCGTCACGTCACGCCACACCATGTCACACGAGGCCATGCAGGCACTTCACACTTCCTGGCGGCCTGCCCCCCGGGCACCCGTCCCCCAGGCCTGAGCCCCCACGCACTTCCTGCCCAGGGCTGAGAGCCCGTACAGCACTCCAGTGGCGAAGGCGATGGCATTGCCCAGCAGAGTGGTGAGTGTCAGGCTGATGACGATGGGGACCACAGCCATCCTGCGGGGACAGGGCGCATCAGAGGGTGTGGGCCCCAGCCCTCAGATGCCAGCCCAGAAGGTGCCCGGAGCACCTGGCCCGGGCTTAGTCAGTGACAGCCTCGTCACCGCGAGGCACCAGGGAGAAGGGTGGCGAGGATGGCCCCCGGGCAGCACGCGGGAAGCCCCCAGACCGGGTGTCCACACCAGCCAGCGCTTCCCCGCGACTCACACACCGTAGGGCCATCTGGAAGCCGCAGTAGCTTGCGGCTCGCCAGTGTCCGCGTGTCCCGGGGTGACCTGCAGGTCATCTCCAAGGAGCGGCCCCCAGTGGACGTGGTCCCCGAGGCAGGGCTGGACACACGTCCAAGCGGCCCACCCACGGCGCTCACCCGCAGTAGAAGACAGCCTTCTGCCAGGAGCGCCACCGGTCCATCCGCTCGGCCACGGTGTTGGCGAACTCGAGGAAGGGGCAGCAGAAGGGTGCCTCACACAGCAGCAGGACGAAGGCGTTCATGCTGCGGGACGTGGCGGCTCACGGCCTGACCCCCAGCCTGCTCCTCACTGGACCCGCCCGCGCCACCCTGGGCAGCAGGGCCCAGTCGCTGTGAGCACCTGGGGCCTGGCCTGGGCCAGGAGGGGCACACGTGGCGAGCCCCCTCTGGAGCCCCGTGAGGGGGCTGCCCCGCCTCTCATGGCCCCAGTGTCCACTCAGCTCGTGTCCCCACGGACACAGGTACCACCTGCCAGCCTCCCAACCCTGGGGCAGCAACGTTGACACACTGCCCCAGGGTGCCCCTGAGGGCTGAGCTCTGAAGTGAAACCCAGGGTGGGCTGTCAGGGGCAGTGCTAAGCACTCCTCCCTCCCCATGGGGTGGCACTGCCCCTGGCGGTGGTTCCTCACCCACGCCCCACGAGGGTCACGACCCTCCAGGACTCACATCATCCACACGCCAGCAGCGATGTTCAGAGGGTGGATGGTGACGCAGTTGAAGAGGCCCGAGATGGCACAGGCTGGAGAGTGAGAAGGTGGGCTGGTTGATGGCCCCCCCCCCCCGCCCCCCCCCCCCCGCCCCAGTCCCCCTGCCCCTCAGCTCAGGGGGGTCCCACCCCTTGGGGGCCCTGAGCCCAGCCCCGCGGGCTCCAACCAGGAGTCAGAATGTAAGAGATGCTGGGTCAGGCATCCCAGCTAGTCTGGCCAGGAATACAGGCTGGACACGGGTACCCGCAAATCCCCTGCTCCCCAAAACAAAAGGGGCCAACAGGAAGGGGCGTGTCCTCGCCCGCCTGGCCCCAGCGGGAAGGGTGGGGCAGTGGAGTAGGCAGCAGGGTCATAAAACTTGCAGGACTCGGCACCAGATCCCAGGGCCAGCACCCGGGCTCCCTGTAACCCGGCATCCAGGCTCCCTGTAACCCGACCTGCGGCCCTGGCGGTGGAGGGATGGGAGCAAGCACCCCCTCCACGGCGCGCAGGGTCCCCGTGGCAGCCCCCGTCCCGGGCCCCACATGCTTCTCTGGGACCCACACTGAGACCCTCGGGGGCAATCAAGCGTTTCAGGGGCCCCGAGGCAGAGCGAGCGGGGCGCGGCTCGCAGGACAGTGGGGGCCACTCCTTGTCCTCCAGACCGCCGTGCTACCCGCCAGCACCCCTGTTCCGACCTGCCGAGACCCGGCCGCGCACCAGGGGCTGCAATGCGCCCTGGCTGGCTGGAGACCGGACTGGGCCTCTTCAGGGCAGGGTCTGTCCAGCTGTCCAGACAGCTCACGGGCCAGGGGTCCCTGGCGGTGCCCCGGAGCGCGGGAGGGCGGGCCAGGGGGCTGACCCGCCGGCCCAGGGACGGCCGCGCTGGAGTCCTTGCAGGGAAGCGGGGGGCGCCCGGGAGGGGCAGCGTCCCTCGGGGGCTGCAGGGGCAGTGACGCCGCCCGGGTTCTGCGGCGGCCGTCGCCGTGGCGACCGCCGGGCCCGCCCCTCCCGGCTGCCCCAGCCCACGCGGGTCGCGCCCGGTACTCACACACTGCCCCCAGCACCCCCGCCAGGCGGCACAGCCAGCGGTACCACCACGTCATGCCCTCCTCTTGCGCGGGCGGCGCCGCGCTGGCGGCCGCGGCCGCCCCGCCCGGGGAGCTCATGATGCGGCCGCGGGGCGCTGCGCGGCTCACAAAGGCCCGAGCGGCCGCCGCGCTGCCTTATGGGATGACCCGATTAGAATAGGGGGCGGGACTCCCAGGAGGGCGCCCGAGTGGCTCGAGCTCATTAGCATAGGGGCGGGGCTTGTGAGAGATGACCCAGGGCCGGCGTCGTTAGTATAGGGGCGGGGCTAGCGGGAGAAAGGACCCAGGACCCTATATTAGCATAGGGGCGGGGCTTGCGGGAGAAGACCTAGGCCCCTCTCATTAGCATAAGGACGGGGTTTGCAGGAGGAAGGACTCAGGACCCGCATATTAGCATGGGGGCGGGGCTTGAGGGAGAATCCCCAGACCCTTCATATTAGCATAGGGGCGGGGCTTGCGGGAGAAAGGACCCAGGACCCTATATTAGTATAGGGGCGGGGCTTGTGGGAGGAAGGACCCTGGACCGGCGTATTAGCGTAAGGGGCAGGGCTAAAAGAAGAAAGGAGCAGAACCCGCTTATTAGCATAGGGGTAGGGCTTGCGGGAGAAAGTAGCAGGACCCCTGCTTATTAGCACAGAAGCAGTATTCGTGGGGAGAGAAGCTGCCCTCTCATTAGCATAGGGGCGGGGCTTGTGGGAGAAGACCCAGGACCCTCATATTAGCATAGGGGCGGGCTTGCGGGGGGACGGCCCCAGGACCGGCGTATTAGTGTAAGGGGCAGGGCTAGAAGAAGAAAAGGAGCAGAACCCGCTTATTAGCATAGGGGCAGGACTTGCGGGAGAAAGGAACAGGACCCGTGCTTATTAGCACATGAGCTGGGTTCGTGGGGGCGGGGCTTGCGGAAGAAAGCAGGACTCGCGCTCTTTAACATAGGGGGCGGGGTTCTCATGGCAGTGCGTGGAGCACCCGCTAGCTCTTGTAGCGGGGCCGTGCAGGTCCCAGATCTGGGAGGAAGATCTCTAGCATAGGGACTGGATGTTGAACAAGCTGGACTACCATGTGGTCACAGGCGCCGAGGGTGAGCATAGGGGCAGGGCTCTGCAGCGTTTTAACGGGTGTGTGGGGATCCTGGAGGGTCCACCTGGGAGCCAGAGCTGCTTGCTAACAGGATGGGGAAGAGGCAGATGTGCCCATGTGCCCTGGTGCAGATTTTCGGGCCAAATTTGGACCGGGTATGTGAAGATAGATAGAGCCTCCAAGACCCACGTTTTGTTTATTGCTGTCCCAGGCCTTTCGCACACTGGGGGAGGGACGGTGCTCTAAGTGGAAAGCTGAGACCCCCAACTTCAGAGGGCTCCATGGGGTCACAGGGCCGCCAGGGATTCCTCCGTGGTTTCCAGTACTCCGAGGGGCCTCCCAGAGCCAGCTGGGACACTACTGTGTCTGGAAGGAAGGGTCCAGTACTGGCCTTGCAAGCTGGCCTGGGCTTGCAGGAAGCCAGGGCTGAATTCCATCTCCACCTGGCTGCCCTCGGACTCCCAGTAGAGTGCCCGCTGCCCATGGAAGGTGGTTGTCCTCGGTCGGTGCAGGTCCCGGATCTGGGGAAAAGATCATGAGCTTCCTACGAGTGCCAGTCACCCGGGTGATTCGGGAGCTCCCTTGTCAGGAGAGGGACTCAGAAACCCAGCCAAGGTGGCAGAGGAGGGAGGGAACCTGTGGCCTCACTGAGGACACAGGAGACACAGGTAGGGACAGGCAATGTTGCTGCAGTCACAAGGGGTCTCACAGTTGATCTATTTCACTCTCGTGGGGGCCTCAGCAGACAGCTGCCAGTGACTGAGCAGAATCTAATCATTCCTCCCTAGTGATCTCTTCTCGCCCAGCACCCCCAGTCCTGACCCCATGCTGGGGCCTCACCGAGACATAGCTGGCCTCGGGGCCCGTGGCTCCAGTGCCCGAAGCGGTGACCAGGGCACGAATGGCGATTCGGGTGTCTGGGGCTGCACTGATGAAGACACGGCAGCCCCCCGCACTGGTCCCTGCTGCCCCCAATGAGGGGCTGATGATGTCCCCCTGGGGGCCCAGGAGCTGCGTGTCGCACTCTGCAGGGGCAAGCAGAAGTGGGAGGCAGGGCCCAGAGGAAGTGTGAGCACAGCAACAGCTTGGGTGAGGGGCAGTAGGGTGTTGGGGCTGGGGCACGAGCTTGAGGGTGACCCCAGCGAAGGCAGCACCCACCCCCTGCCTTATTCTCAGACCAGCAGGCCAGACACCAAGGGGCAGGGTGGCAAAGGGGCACTTCCCTAACACGAAGTTCTGGGATCCTTCCTTCCATGTGGGACAAAGAGGCCTTCAGCCTGCCTGGGGTGGGGCGAGGGGACCCGAGGAGAATCACAGGCATGTGCCCATGCAGGCACTGGGACCACAAGCCTGAGTGGAGGGTGTCACTGCGGGACTGGGTGCGAGGGCACCCCATCAAGTCACCCCAAGAACCAGGTCCCATGGGGGCTGTGGGCAGGGTAGGCCCCACTGTGACCTCGGGGCCAGGCTCACCTCTGTGGAAGGTCCCTGAGGCTGGGCGGCTCCCATAGTACAGCAGCACACCACCTCCTCCAGAATGGCCTCGGCGCTGCCGCACCACCAGCGTGTTGCAGTGGGAACTGAGGGTGGCACCCACCAGATTCCTGCACACCTTCCTCCAGGTGAGCCGGCTCCACAGCAGCAGCTCATCCCCTGGGGGAGGGAACACTAGCTCTGGGCGACAGCTGGGCCGGGCACAGTCCTCGAAGAGCCAGGAGACCGGCACATACCGGCGCTGCAGTTGAGGGACGTCTCAAGGACACGCAGGGTCACCTCCTCTCCCAGGGGCCGCCCGATGGACACCACGCAGTCGGCCAACCCTGGGCCACGCAGGTCCAGGGTGCCCGAGGGCTCAAGGAGCTGCCGGCCACAGGGCCCTGGGAGGGGGCAGGGCAGGGTCAGAGGCGGGAGGGGGCCCCTCTGGGTGCCGCTGGACCACATAGGTGCTAGCCCGCCCCCGACCCCCCAGATACGGCAGCTGCCCCAGAGGCCAGGAGCCCCAGACCCCACAGCCACCACTACAGAAAGGAGAAAGGAACCAAACCAGATTCCCCCAGAGGCCGAGGGGCTGGGGGCCGGGATCCCTGGGCAGAGGCCTCTGTGGGGGGCGCTGAGGTGGGTCCTGGAAACGTGGCTTCCTTGGGGGGCACTGGGCCGCCAGAGCCCCGCTCTGCGCAGGGCCCGGCCCAGCAGCCCCGTACAGTGGTCGGCTTGGGCAGATGGTGGCAGAAAGTGACGGGCACAGGTGCCTGGGGTCCGAGGCAGGCGTTCTGCCGCTGCTGGGTGCCAATCCCACAGGAGACGGAGCACTGCAGAGAGAGCAGAGGGGCCGAGTCAACGCATCTCTGACAAAGAGGGAGGCCGGGGTGGGAGCAGCCACCCCCAAGGTGACTCCCTGCCCATGCGCAGGTCACTGGGCCTCAGGAGGCACTGGGCATGGGAGAGCTCTTGGCCACAACTGCCTGCCCACCCTGACACCTCGCATCCTTGCGTCTAGGGCCTGGTCACTCCCTCCCCATCAGACCTCAGCACTCTACTTGGGGTCCGCATCGGAACCACCCACCTGTGTCCAGGCCCCGAGCTGCCACCGGTATGCACAGTCAGTGACCATGCAGGGGACGTGGGCCTGGGGCTGCAGCAGACCGGCACAGGCTGCCCCGTTCAGGGCCACGTCCTGACCTCCGTCCCGCCGCACACAGGCCACCAAGCGCAGGGCGCTGCCGAGGCCACAGCTAGCTGAGCATGGCCCAAGGGACACGACCTTCCACCTGCAGGAGAGCCACACCCAGGCCAGTGGCCGCACTGATCTAGGGCCAGGGAGAGACCCAGGCGTGGGCAGAGCCACAGGCTGGGGGAAACCAAGTCTGTTCTGATTGTCCCCACGGTGCACCCTGGGGACCGGGGCCCAGTCAAACCAAAGCTCATAGTAACAGGGACCCAAGAGCCCAGCAGGAATGGAAGGGCAGGAAATGGCACATATACCCAGTGAAACTGAGGCCGGCTGGGGCGGGGGGGGGGGGGGGGTGTTGGGGAAGTCTGACATTTTCTAGACCTTTCTGTGAAGACGGAAGAGCCTTTCTCTATCTCCCCCACGATGGCCAGGATGGAGGTGGCCGAGTCCTGGTCTGTCCCCTGCGGCCCAGCCCTTCCTCAGCCCTCCATTTCCTGAGGGTATTCCTGCAGGGCCAGCCTCTGGACATTGCCGTCCAGCTCACTGACCGGGGCGGGCAGGGCTGGGTGCTGCAGGCCTCCTGTGGCTCCGGGCGGGGCAACGCCTGACAATGGGTGTCAGGCAGGATCTGCTCATCCTGGTCGTCCCCACGGGCCCGAGCACAGTACAGGATCCTCCTGGCGATGCCCCCGCCACAGCTCACGCTGCAGGCCGCCGGCTTGTACCGCCACCTGGGGCGAGCGGGAGGTCAGGGCCCATCTTCCCCAAAGCACCGCGGCTTCTCGGGGGACGGCACAAGAAGCCCCAAAGTGGCAGCACCCACCCCCTCCCCAGCGGTGGGCTGGGGCCTGGCACACAGAGCGGCACCAGGCCCAGAGGCGTTCACGGTCTCCCAGGCCTGGCCCCCTCCTTGGGAAGGGCTGGGCACCCCCGGGGCACACAGGCACACAGGGGAGGGGCTCAGCCTCCACAAAGCCCTAGAGGCCCCATACCTTCATAGCACCGGGGGCTCCCAGCCTCACGAGCCCCACCAGGACGCGCCCCTCCTCTGGGGGCCGGAACTGCGCCCACTCACCGAACTGGGCACCGGGCAGCTTGGCATGCTGCCTGCCGGCTCTCAGGCTTGCTGACAGGGGCGCAGAGTGCATCCGGGAGGAGGGTCCCAAGAGAGGGGTCCTCGCACATGAAGCGCAGCTCTGTCAGGCCTGCGGGGAGGAAGCCAGGACCCCAAGTCTGGCAGGCACTGGCTGTAGGCCAAGCAGGGCTCGCCTGTGACCCGGGCAGTGTGTGGCTCCAGGGCCCCTGGCTGCCCACTCTGAGCCGGACCCCTGCAGGGTGACTCCTGAAGTCTCCAGGGGGCAGCCTGGAGAGATCCTGAAGACCTCCCCTCATATTTCTCAAAGGAAACCTCAGGTGTCACTCTGGTTTGCTTCATGGGCCACACTTGGGGGTCGAGGGGACACTCCTGGCAGGGCTCCGGGCTCTCGCCCCGGCTGACCATGTGCACGGCCATCACCTTCGCCGTGTCTCTCAGCACCCGACCCAGCTCAAAGGGCTCATCTCCCTCTGCTGGCAGCCAAGGAGGACCTTCCTGACCCTCCCTCCCCTAAGGCCCCCCTCAGGTGCGGCTTGGGCCTCACCTCGGCCACAGGATACGGAGCATGGCCCTGTCAGGGGGACCCACACTCCGGCAGCCTGGGGGCCCCGCCTGCCACTCTGCTGGGATGCTGCAGCCTCGTGCCTGGGAGCCTGCGGGAGCAGCTGCGGGGGCACAAGCACAGCTAGTGGGGCTGGGCCTGGACCCCGAACCGCCGCCTGCTCCCCCAAAAGCCCTGCGCCCCTCCGGTCACTGGCCCGGAAGCTCTGTGTGGCAGGACACTGGCGTGGCAGGACACTCACGTGGCCCTGGGGTGGAGGCCAGGACATCTGGGGGTGGGGCCCCGGCGTGGAAGGTGGTGGGTTCATGGCGTGGGCCCAGGTGGGCCCCTGCAGGCCGCCTGTCCCCTGCACACACGTCCTATTTCTCGATTCCCTGTCCATACCGCAGGCCGACGAGTGGGCCGCAGGCACCCCTCTGCTGGGGGCAGCAAGGATGGCCGTGGGAGCAGGGAGCGGTGACCTGCTGGTCACGCCGGAAACTGGGGTCGAGGCTCACCGGCTCCCACACCCACCCCAGGGGCCCTGGGTCACTTAGACCCCGGAACAGGTCACAGAATTGAGGCCTGTCCCTCTGTCTTGCCACCTGGTGGCCATGAGAATGAAGGCGTGAGCGGGCTGCAGGCTCTGGGCTCCCAACACGGCCAACACGGGGACTGTCCCAGGAGGCCACCCGGGCCACGTGCTCAGGTAAGTCAGAGCAGGACGGGGACGGGGGCTGGAGGGCGATGGGAATGAGGACCGTAGGGGAAGGAGGGGCAGCAGAGAGAGATACCCGGGGGCTGGGCCCGGGTTGGGGCACCTACAACTCCAGGGAGATTTGTCCCCAGTCTGTGCTGGCCATGTCTGCCCTCATGCTGAGTCCTGCCTACAGGGGCCAGGGTCTCATCTGCACCACCGCCACCCCGGCTACTTCCCGTGGGGCTGCCTGAGCTGGGCCGTGACCACTGGCCCATCTGTGGACACTGTCACCACTGTGCAGTGTGCACCCCGTGGTCCTGGACCGGGCCCCCCCGCCCCACCACTCACAGTCCAGGACAGGGTTGTAGATCACAGGGCTCTGGCCACGCCGCCGGTGGGCTCCCTCTGCACCCAGATGCCTGGTCCACACAGCGGTAAGTCACCCAGCGCCGCCCTGTAGGGAGAGGCTCGGCCACCTCTGTGCAGGCACCCAGGCTCAGGGCCGGACGCGGGCCCTCGCCCCAGGCCTCACCTGCCCCGCAGCTCACGGAGCAGAGCCCCCGCACAGAGGCCCAGGCCCCAGCCCGCTGCTGCTCAGGCTGGAAGTAGGTGAAGGTGATGTCCGGGCGGGACAGGGTTCCGTACTCGTCCCCATAACGCCTGTACACCTGCCGGACACACACGCCCAGGCCTCATTCTGCTTCCTCTAGGAAGCCCTCCCAGATCTTCCTCCAGCTCAGTGAGCATGGGTCCCCGCCCCAGGCCAGGTTCTTGGGCACATAGCACACAACACACTGGCAGGGGGAGGTGGAACAGGGACAGTGTCCGAGCACAAGGCCTGACTGGGCTGAGAGCAGAGGCATGGAGGCAGCCAGGGCCGGAGCCAGGACACGGACTGCTAAAGGGGCAGCCTTGTTCCACCTTAGTGGTCTGGCCCCAGGATGGCCCAGAAAGGGCCCCTGTGCAGCCCTCATCTGCTGCAGGGATCTCAGGGGGCAGAGATCTGCTTCAGAGCCAGGGTGGGGGTGGGACCAGCTCGACACAGCACAGAGCACCCGCAAGTGCCCAGAAGTCGGCACCTGGGAGCCCCTCTGTGTCCCCAGTTGTGGGGGACCTGGCAGTACAAGACAAGACTCAGAGGCCGTCGCTATGCGGGTCCCTCCCCACTGGGCTGCAGACTCTCACAGCCCGCGGGGGCGTGAGACCGGGAGCCTCTGCCCTCAGCGCCAGCCTGCCTCGCCCTCATCCCATCGGATGAGCCTGTGCTCGGGCACTTTAGAGCCGGACGCCAGCTGGCAAGGCCACCACCATGCGCATCTGGGGCTCCACTGGGTGATGGGGAACACGCAAGTGGCATCGCAACAGGCCAGGCACGGGCTGACCCAGAGCAGAGTGGTGCTACTGAGCCTCGGCCCAGCTGTGTGGCCTGGCCCCAAGGGGGCAGTGTCCGGGCCCAGGCTGAGGCTCGAGAGGGCACAGGAGGGGGTGCCGGGCCACACGCAAGCAGAGGCGGGAGCAGCAGGGCGGGGGGGGCAGGCTCATCCTCCCTGCACCCCAGAGCAGGCCCGGCCGTGTCTCCCACCTCGGTGTCCCCACACACACCCGGGGGCCAGGACTTGGGTCCGAGGCTCGCGGTCACCTGGACCTCCATGGGCTCCCAGGCGGGGCCAGGGATGCGAATCTCCTCGCGGTGCGGCAGCTGCTCTGCGGTGAGGCTCACATGGTACTCCAGGCGCAGATCCTCCAGCGCTGACGGGTACACAGTGCTGCCCGATGGGCGGGCATTCCCTGCCACCACATAGCGCCCGGCGACCTTCACGGCTGCGGGCGTCACCCCTCTTCAGCCCAGCTCTGTTGGGGCGCTGGAGACTCACCCATCCCGCCCCATGGGGAGAGCCGGATGGGAGACACCTGGCCACGGCCAGTGTGACTGGAGGGGAAGGGGACCGTGGGGACTGGGATCGGGACCCTGCCACGGCCTGTCTGCAGGTCCCCGCAGCCAGCAATGTGGGTCCTGGGGGTGCAGGGATGGGTGCAGGGGTGGTGTCAGGAGGAGGGTGAGAGCACCCTCACCCCCAGACTCACCCAGGTGCGTGAAGAGCGGCCTGTGGTTGACGACGTGGATGTGGGTGAGGTCAGGGGTGACCGTGAGGAAGGTGACATACTCTGGGGGTGGGGACGCAGGTCACCAGGGAGTCAAGGGGAGGCGACGCCCGGAGCGCCCCAGGAGGGGGACTCAGTGGTGGCAGAGCTGCCTGCGGATGTCGGCCTGGCAAGGTGCCCCCACTGAGGCTGGCACCCAGAGGGGGGCACCCACCTCCGGCTCTGCCAGCTGCGAATGAGCCGTTCCGGGGACTGCAGGTACTGTTGTCACCGCCACACACCTGACATGCGTCTGGGGCCCGAGGGGAGTCCATCCTGCCATCACAGCCGAACGCCTGTGCCACAGGGGCAGCTCTGAGGCCTGGGGGCCGCAAGCCGGCATCTCGGGAGCACCACGGCCAGGCCCAGCCCCAGCAGCGACTCCTGGGATGGCCCCTACAGGTTCAGCCCCTGACCTCAGCTCACCGTCTGGGGCACCTGCCCACCCCTGGCCCTTGGCCCCTCGCCCCTACCCGGCAGCGTCCTGCCACGCACAGACTCAGGGGCATGTCCCCCCTCGGGCTGCCGGACACACACCGGGTCCCATCCAGAAAGCTGTGTCCCCGCCTCATGATGAAGCTCTGGCCAATGGCCCTGCACAGGTGCTGGCACAGAGCGTCCCCTGGGAAGGCGGGAGACAGGGACACCAATGTGGGGCAAAGCACCCTGCCGAGGAGCAGAGCGTGACCCGGGACTCCTGGCCCCTCCGCCCAGCCCCACCCTTGCGTGGGGGCTGGGGCGCCCCTGCGGCCACAGGTGTGGGAAGGCGCTGCCCGCCCGGCTCCCCGCCCACCTTGGCTGTGCTGCGCGGCCGCCCCCCAGCGGTAGAGCGCGGAAGTGCTCGGCGAGAGGCGCACGGGCTCCGGGTTGGTGCCTGCACACTGCTGGGCCATGAACTGCAGCTGCGTCTGGTCACAGGCCTGCGAGGGGCAGAGGACGTCACTGGGAGGCGGCCGGGCCTCCCGCCGGGGTGCGGGCTGGAGGGAGATGTGGGAACACACAGTGGGCTCCCCGCCCTGTCGCTGAGAGGGGAGCAGAGGCCAGCCCCAGTGCTGATGGCCGATGGTGGACGCCAGGACACCACCCGCAGGAGGGCGGGGCCGAGGCACCGAGTCAGTGTGGAAGGCCCAGCGGGAAGGCCCAGGGGTGCTGCTCCCCTTTGCTGAAGGGCACAAGGGGCCACGTGCAGCCTGTCCCGTGGGGAGGCGTCATCCTGGCACCCACAGTGCTGGCCAGGGCCCATCCGGGTGGGTGGGGGGACACCAGGACAACTCACAGGGACCCCAGGAGCCGGGCACCGTTTGACGGTTCTGGAAATGGTGCTGCTGGGAACTTGTGAGCACTTTACAGGGAGCGCCTCCCACTGAGTATCCTAGGAGTGGCGAAAGGGGGGGTCTACCTGGGCGTTGCATATCTCAGCCTGCAGGTCCGGCCCTTCGCACACACGCCCCCCAAAGGCAGGCCTGCACATGCCAGGAGACACAGAGTGAGGGGAGACCCGGCCCCCAGGGGGCTGCAAGCGGCCATCTACACCCCCCAGTACCTGGGGTCACTGCACTGCCGCCTCCGGGTGACCACGCCTCCACCGCAGGAGCGGGAGCAGGGCCCGGGGGCCCCCCAGCTAGACCAGTGCCCGTGCACCGCCTCCACTTGGGGCAGCTCAGCCAGCGAACGGCAGCGACCCCGGAAGCACCACTGCAAGACAGTAGGTGAGCTCCCATGGCCACCGCCACTGCAGCCCTGCAGCCCACACAGGACACACACACGGAGCATACACAGTCACTGCACAGCACCCGTACTGTCCCAGTTCCAAGGACAGGGGATTGGGGCAGTGACGAGTCCCAGGGGCAGGGTTGAGTCCTGGATATAGGGGTGAGTCCTGGGGGCAGGATTGAGACCCAGGGGCAGGTTGAGTCCTTGGGGTAAGGGTGAGTATGGGGAGCAGGGGTGAGTCCCGGGGATAGGGGTGAGTCCTGGGGGCAGAGTGAGTTCTGGGTGTAGGGGTGAGTCCCAGGGACTTGGTGAGTCCTGGGTGTAGGGGTGAGTCCCAGAGGCTTGGTGAGTCCTGGGTGTAGGGTTGAGTTCTGGGGGCAGGGTGAATCCTGGTTATAGGGGTGAGTCCCGAGGGCGGGGGGGTCCCAGGGCAGGAAGGGTCCTGGGCAGGGGTGCTTCTGGGGTAGCTGAGAGCCTGTGCCCGGTCTGACCTGCTCCACCCCACACTCGGTGCCATCCAGCAAGGGTGTGAGGCGGCGGCTGCAGCTGCCAGGGGTCTGGGGGTCTGTCTGGCAGGACAGAGCCTCACATGGGTCCTGTGGGAGGAGATGGGCTGTCCTGAAGGGACAGGGACTGTAGGGGTGAGAGAAGGCGTGGGCCATTGGCAGGGACCGGAACGCAGCTGGGGCTGTCAGCCTGCCCCTTCCCCAGATTGCTTCTGGGCAGTCTCCTCGCCAGAGGCGCCCGGGGTGCCCCTCCAGGGTCTCTGTCGTGGACTTGGGGGACGTGCATGGCCTCCAAACACAAGCAGGGACGCAGGGCAGCCTCCACCCCCAGGAACCCGGAGAGGCTGGGGATGCCACCACGCCCCAGAGAACAGGGGCAGGTGCGGCACTGAGTCTGGGGGCGCCCGGGGCCCCCGGCTCACCTCCTGCTCTCTGATGAAGGTGCAGGCCACGGCGGTGGGGCCAAAGGCCACGCGGCATTGCTCATCCACGCCATAGTAGAGGCCGGGCAGCGCCTGGGGGGGCCAGCCCACAAGCCCAGGCAGCGGCCCTGGCGGGTTCCTCACACAGGAAGCCCGGCCTGCACTGAGGTGCGAGTGCTCAGACTCGGGGGAATGTGGACGGGATGGGGTGACCCTGAATGGGCTTGGGTGGTGCCACCCAGTGTGCCCGGCTGACGGGCATGGAGAAGGATGCCCCACAGGTGGGGCGAGGGGCAGACAGAGCTGAGCCTCGCAGGGGGCGGGATGGAGGGGCAGCTGAGTGTGCGGGTGGGGCAGAGGCGGGTAGGTGACAATTAGGGTGGCTGCACGCAGGGCTGAAGGGAGAGACAGGGTTGCTGGTGAGGTGAGGGATGCCTGGGCATGGAAGGGTGCCTGGGGGCGGCAGGGCAGGCCAGGAAGAGCTCTGAGCCTGAGGGTAACCACGGAGGGGTGGGGGCAGGGCGCAGGGAGCGCCAGGGTCACCAGGTTGGAGCCCGCTACCTGAGCAGACGCTGCAGCTGCTGCCGGCTGCACGGCGACCAGTGGACAGTGCCTGGCTTGGGCGGCTTGCCGTCAGACGCCATCACATGGCCCTGGGGGTTGCAGCCGGGCGCCCCCTCGTCGTGTTCCAGGCCAAAGCTGTGGGAGGGGGCCCCAACTCATGCCCAGCTTCACCACCTCCCTGCCTCATTTTCCCAGCAAGGGAGCAAGGGCTCCCGCCTTCTGGGGCTGACAACAGCCAGAGCTGGGGAGCAGGCCCGCCCAGGGCCGGCTGCGGGGGGCATGGCTCCTCCAAACATGCCAGTGGCAGAGACGGGCCCCGGCGGAGAGGGTGGGCGGGGGCTGGCCTCCCCGCAGTGGGCTGTGCCAAGGACCTGTTTGGCTCTCGGTCCACACAGGATGGGGACAGCCTGCAAGACTCAAAGACAGAGCGGGAGGGATCAGGGCCGGGGCGTCCCTAGTGGGAGGCAAACCGGTGCTGTCGCTGCCCTGGGGATGCTGGGGAGAGAGGACGGTGGCCACGGCTGGGCAGTCTGCATGCCAACTTGCCCTTCCCCAAGTTTCCCGCAGGGCTTGCTCTCTAACCGCTGTTTTGCTTCCTTTGGGTGTTTTATTTGTTGGGAGCCACGCCCGGTGGTGCGTAGAGCTTAACTTCTGGTTCTGTTTGGGGTTTTATTGGTTGTTCTTGGGGGGCTCACACCCAGCAGTGCTCAGAGCTTACCCCTGGCCCTAACCTCGAGGATCACTCCTGCCAGGCTCAGGGCACCATTAGGGGTGCCAGGGCTCAAACACGGGTCAGCTGCGAAAAATACAAATGCCCTCCCCGCTGGACTATCTGCCCAGCCCTTTACTCCTGGCTCTGTGCTCAGGAGTCACCCCGGTGGGCTAGGGGACCCCACGTGGCCAGTGAGCTGCACGCGGGAAGTGCCCACCTCTTGGACTGCTCCTGCGGTCACCCGGTGACCAACTAGCCCCCACTGCCACCCCACCCCCACCTCCCCTCCAGGGACCTCTTACCTGTGCCCAATCTCATGGGCGATGGTAACTCCCAGATCAAAGCCCGTGTCCTCAGTAATGAGGCAGCTCCAGGAGGGCGAACAGGCACCCCCCAGTTGGGTGACCCCCCGGACCTGCCGGTTACCATCAGGCAACTCCAGGTCAAATCTGGGGTGGAGAGGAGGACACTGGCCTGTGAGGGGCCCCTGAGGAGCGGAGAGGTGGGGGGCAGTCCCGGGCACCTCTCGGGTCCAGGCACTGCTACCTGGTGATGTAGAGGAGCAGATCAGCGTGCCCGGGGTCCCTGTCATCCTGGGGGCTGAGTGCCCGGCCCCACTGGCAGACACTCCGCAGCGATGCGGTGATGTTGGCTGTGATGGGCGGGGCAGCCTGGGGGGCACGCGCCTGCAGTTAGGGATCTTGGGCTGCGCGGGCATTGGCAGGTGGAGGACAGAAAAGGGTGCCTGCGACACTGCAAAGCCAGCGAGGCACCCACCTCGGCGTCCTTCAGAACGACCATCCTCACCAGGTGCACGTGGAACTGAGCCCCCAGGGAGGGGTCCCGCAGCAGCTCTGACGCCTAGCCAAGCAAGAGAAGGAAGTGACAGAGGCACGCCTGGAAGAGGGGCTCCATCATCTTAAGGTACCAGTTATGCTACCGAGGGGCACTGACGCTCTGCCACCCTTGTACCTCCCAGGAAGCCCAGAGAATAGGGCACATGGGAGGGCTGAGGGAGAGTGGGCGGCTGGAAAGCACAAACGGAGGGATCCGTTCTTTTGGTCTACAATAGGTGGGTGTGGCAGAGGCAAAAGACAAAGTGGCACCAAGCGCCCCCATTCTCAGGGCGAGGGGCTGGTACCCTCCAGGGCAGAGTCCAGAGGCAGAAACCTCCTCGGCCCTGTCTGCAGCACACCAGGAGGGGCGGGGAGAGCACTGCTGGCGGCCAGTAAGAGCTGAAACCTTCTGAAGCCCCCGGTCCAAACGCCAGACTCTCAGCAGACAAGGGGCACGTGCCTCTGCTGTGCCTAATGTCACATCAAACCTCACCACACACCTTCCCTCACCACATCACACCTAAATTCACACCACACCTAACCTCACCACACCATACCTAAACCGTTCCTCACCTCACCTCACACCTCACCTCATCTCAAATCACACCTCACCTTAACTCACCTAGCATCTCCTTACCTAACCTCAGCTCACCCAGCCTCTCCTCGCCTCACTTCGTGTCAAACCAAAACTCATGACGCCTCTCCTCACCTCATCACACCTCACCTAACCTTACCACACCAACTTTCCATACCTCGCCTCACGTCACACGTCACCTCACCATGCCTTCCTTCTCCTCACACCTCACCACATTGCACCTCCCATCTCATCTTACCTCACCACAACTAACCATACCTCACTTCACCTCACCACACCTCACCTCTCCACATCTCACTTCGCCTCTCCTCACCGCATACCTCACCTCACTTCATCAAACCTCTCCTGACCTCATCTCAACTCATACCTCACCTCACCACACCTCATCTCTCCTCACACCTCACCACACTGCACCTCACCTCACACCTCACCTCTCTCACCACACCTCACCATCCTCTCCTCACCTCACCACACACCCTACCTCACCATAGCTCACCACGCTTCGCCTCACCACACCTTACCACACCTCAACACACCAACTCTCCAGAGCTCACCTCCCAGCTCACCACGCCTCACCCCCTCATCTCGGCTCTCCTCACCACGCCTCGCTTTCTAACCTCACACCGAACGCATCGCCTCACCCCTGGCTGTGGCGGCGAGACTGGGGCTCCCCAGGTGCCACATCACACACAGGCGCTGCCATCTGCGCGGGCACCAGGACGCAGGAGCCCAGCCTGCCCCGAGAGAGCACCCTGGTCGCCCCCGCCACCGCAGGGCCGGAGCGTCACTGGGCGCAGCTGCCGGCGACCCCGGACACTCAGGCCCCAGCACTGGCCGCCGGCCCTGCTGGCCAAGGAACAGCAGAAGCGGCCCTCAGGGAGCCCCGGAACAAGACGGCGAAGACCCCCCGGCCGCGCCTCACCAGGTTGAGATTGGTGAGGACGTAGCGCTCCGTGTCGTGCCGGTGGACCCGGTAGACGTCTGGGCCCACGGCCACCAGCAGCTCCAGGTGCAGGACGTGCCCCGGGGGAGGCGGCGGCGGCGTTGGGACTGAGAGCGAAGGTTCTAGAAAGTACACGAACCGTGCTCCCGGGCAAGCGGCCCAGCGGGAGGTGGGAAGGGGGTCCCCTGAGCGGTGGCAGGAGGCCAACGGCCACTGTCCCACCACGCCCGGCCAGCCAGCCGCTGGGGGCACCTCTGTGAGGGAGGGGCACACGAGCCCGCCCCGGCCCCCTCTGCGGGGGCCCCACTCGGGTCTGGCGGGGCCTGTTGTCGCAGAGATAAATATCCACATCCGGGACTGAGAGCGCAGGCGGCTGGCGGCAGATAAGGGGCCGTCGGCCCCCACCGGGGTCAGCCGTGGAGTGCCTGGAGCACCCCCAGCCCCCCAGCCCCACAGGGCCCAGCCTGCCCCGGGAAGCCCCCCCATACCTGTCCGGGGGGTTTCTGAGCCTGAGTGAGGAGATGCTTCCGGGGGCTCCAACGCCTGCAGAAAGTGGGGCTAGGAGGGCAGGAGGGCAGAGGGGCAGGGGGACGGGAGGGGAGATGAGGCAGGGAAGGGGTGAGGGGCGGCAAAGGCCAGAGCAGGGAAAGGAGCCGCGCCTTGCAGGGGTCCCGAGGGCCGGCTTCTCCCCTGGGACCCCGCGCTCCCACTGCTCCCCCCCCAGCCCTCTGCACCCCAAAGGGCCCCAGCTGCCCGGGATCGGCTCTGCGGAGTCACCCACCTGTGGGGTCTCAGCGAGACCCCCGCAGCCCAGGAGGAAGAAAACCGACGCAAGAACCCCCCGCAGACCCAGCCCGCGGGACAGAAGCCGCTCCATGCCTCAGACTGAGCACTGCGAGGAACGGAGTGGGGTGGGGGGGCGGGGCGAGGTGCCGGGGACGGGGTGGAACTCGAGGCGCGGGGGGCGGGGCTCTGGGGACGGGGCGGGGCTGGGGGCGGGGCGCTGGGAAACAAGGTGGGGCTCTGGGGACGGGGCGGGGTCGGGGGGATGGGGCGGGGCGCGGGGAACGGGGCGGGGTGCTAGGGACGGGGTGGGACGCGGGAGGCGGGGCTCCGGGACAGGGCGGGGCTCTGGGGATGGGGCGGGGAATGGGGCGGGGCCGGGGCGCGGTGGGGGAGATGGGGCGGGGCCAGGGCGCGGGGAACGGGGCGGGGTGCTGGGGACGGGGGTGGGACGCGGGGGGCGGGGTGCTGGGGACGGGGGTGGGACGCGGGGGGCGGGGCTCCGGGGACAGGGCGGGGCGCTAAGGGCGGGGCGGGGCCGGGGCGTTGGGGGGGCGGGGCGCGGGGAACTGGGGATGGGGTGGGACGCGGGAGGCGGGGCTCCGGGACAGGGCGGGGCTCTGGGGATGGGGCGGGGCGCGGGGGAACGGGGCGGGGCTCTGGGGACGGGGCGGGGCGCGTGGAATGAGGCGGGACGCGGGGAACGGGGCGGGGCCGGGGCGCGGGGGGGGGGATGGGGCGGGGCGCGGAGGACGGGACACTGCGCGGGGGGACAGGGAGCGGGGCGGGGCGGGGTGTGGGGCGGGCGCCTGCCCGGGGCGGGTGTGGACAGACCCTCCCGCCCTGCCAGTGTAGACAAACGCCCTTCCCACCCGTGCCAGCACCCTCGCAGCGGATGTGGAGACCCGCTCCCGCCCGCCCTCGGCGTGGGCTTGGGGCCGCTGGCCGGTCCCTCCCCTGGGCGGCGGCGCGGGAACGGCGACGGCCCGGGAAGGTCCCGCCGGCCCGGAACCGCCGGCTGCGCAGGCGCGAAGGCTGCTTCCGGCCCGGCGGCCACAGCGGGAGCTCATGCGCCAGATGGGCAAGAAGAAGTTGTGGAAACGTCGGGCGCGGCCGGGCGGCGCGGCTCCGGAACGCATCCCCGGGACGCACGCCGGGAGGCCCCCGCAGGACCCCGGGGACTTTTCCCGGAACTGGAAGGCGCTGCGCGAGGTGCGGGGCCCGGGGTCCTGGATGCTGGGTGCTGGGCGCGGGGGACTGGCTGCGAGGTGAGGGGCGGGGGGTCCTGGGCGCGGGGCGCGGGGTGTGGGGCGTGGAGTGCTGAGTGCAGGGCGCGGGGCGCGAGGTGCTGAGTGCAGGTGGCGGGGCGCTTGGTGCTGGGCACGTGGAGGCAGAGTGCTGGGTGCAGCTGGCGGGGCGCTGGGTTCGAGGCGCTGGGGTGCGGGCAGCGGGTTGCTGGGGGCGGGGGGGGGGGGCGGGGGGCGGGGCGCTGGAACTGATGCCGCGCTGACCCGGCTGTGACCTGTAGACCAGGAAACCGAGTTCCGAGGCTGTCAGCCCGATGGCCAGCGAGGAGCAGCAGCCCCGAGTGGCAGCCCCGGGAGTGCGGGGAGGAAAGGAGGGAGGTTGAGAGCCCGCCTGGGCCTGCAGTCTGTGCGGGGAGGGGCCAGGCATTGGGCACAGGAGTTGGGGCAGGAAGGGCCTCAGAACAGACCCCCAAACCTTTGAGTGAGAAGTTGATCAAAAGTTCCCAGTCTCCCAGCACAAACCCAGGCGCCTTTTTTGCTTGATTGCTTTTGGGGCCACACCGGGCATTGCTCAGGGGCCACTGGTGACTATTCCGGTCCTCTGCTAACCCTGTGGGGTACTGGAGGATGGAGTGGGGCACGTAGGTCGCTTCCAGGGCCTCTGGCTCCTGGTGCCGGTGCTGAGTCAGGGAGAGTCTGCCTGACAGCCCCCATCGGGAACCTGTCGGAGTGGGCCTGGACACGGCACGACTGCATGTGTGTCCGTGTAGACGTGCACTGCCCAGTGTTTGGGGCCCACGCCCAGCGGTGCTCGGGGCTTACTCCTGGCTCTACCCTCGGAGATCACTCCTGGTGGGACTCAAGGTGGAGTGCTACAAATCGCACCCAGGCAGACACCTTCCCTGCTGTCCTATCCTTGCCAACCTCTCAGCATTTTTCTCTCGCTCATGACCTTCTTCAGCTTATGGTTGTTTGTTATATTTTGGGTCCTGTTAGCTGCTGAAACAAAAGTCACAGGCCCGGGAAAAGCCTGTCAGTGCCTCTCCAGTGGAGTCCAAAATGCTGCCCCAAGTTACCCAGCCAAACAGAACCCCTGTGTCTGCTGCGGCCAAGCCAGAGGAGCCTGCAAGGGAAGGCCCTAGGCACGAGGCCCGCAGGGGCGCCACTCCCGGGAGACCACCAGGCAGGAGAAAGGGGCCGGCTGTCCCAGAGGTGAAAGGAAGCAAGAGAAAGGCCCACGGAGACCCGGCTCTGAGAACAGTGGACGGCGGGCCCAGGAAGCGAAGGGCCCCTGCGGCCCCACAGCCACCCACTGAGTGAGTGCGGCCGCCATGTGCCCCCGCGATGGCCTTCCCTCGTGTGCCCCTGTCACCAGCCTCCCCTGAGCCCAGGCTGGTGTTGCTGCTGTCGCGGTGGCTCTCGGTCTTCCCGGTGACCATTGGCGAGTGCATGGCCGACACCAGCTTCGATTGGTTTGTTTTGGTCTGGTTTGGGGCCACACCTGGCGGTGGTCAGGTGTCACTCTGTTCTGGGCTCAGGGGCCATTTGTGTGCCAGGGACCGAGCCTGGGTTTGCACTGGCAGGCGGGCTCCCTCCCACTGTAATTGTTCCAACCCAACACCCAGCTTTGAAGCCAACGCCTGGGTCACCCCCAACCTGGATGATGGTTGGTCTGGGGCCAGTTTCTGGGGTCTCCTGGGCCTGTGCAGTGCTGGGTGTTGGCTCAGTGCCTGCTGGTCACTCACTGGGTCAACTGCCAGTGGTGTGTGTGTCAGGCTTACTGGCTTCCTGTCACCCTCTGGAGGCTTGGGGTCGAGGAAGGGAGATGGGGGCCTGGCTCTGGGACGGCTGCATGCTGTGGGAGGGTGGTCTGGGCAGGGTGGTCATTCCAGGGGTCCGGGACAGGGGGCCCTGCGGTCTCCCTGTGGCCGCCCCCTCCTCCCTCGATGCATGTTCGTGGTGCCTCGCCAGCAGTGTGAGCACAACCTGTGCTGGGCACTCAGGTCCTCCTTCCGCCATCCAGGGATGACCTCTGGTTTGACGATGTGGACCCGGCGGACATCGAGGCGGCCCTGGGCCCGGAGGCAGCCCGCATAGCTCGGAGCCGCCTGGGCCTGCGTGAGCCCTGCGTGACTCTGGAGAAGGACCAGGCTTTCTCGGGGTAGGTGGGGGCCGCAGGCCACGGGGTGGGTCTCCCAGGGGCACCGCCAGGGTGTCGGCGACAGATATGTCCCCACAGCCTGACCAGAGCCTTGGCCCTGGACTGCGAGATGGTGGGCGTGGGCCCCGGCGGGGAGGAGAGTGTGGCCGCGCGCGTGTCCGTGGTGAATCAGTTCGGGAAGTGCGTGTATGACAAGTATGTGAAGCCCACCCAGCCTGTGACGGACTACAGGACGGCAGTCAGCGGCATCCGGCCCCAGCACCTCGGGCATGGTGGGTCCCGCGGCTTCCCTGGGTGAGGACGTTGGGAAACCCCCCTGACCTGATCGTGGCCCCAGGATCATGGGGGACCCAGGGGGCCACTGCTGCCCTTCACAGTCTGTGAAGGTAGAGTGCCCAGGCCCCCACCTGGCCCTCATGCTGGCTCCTGCTTCTGGAGTGGCCAGGACCCTGGGGCTGACCACAGGCTGCCCTGGGCGCAGGACGGCGTCTCCAGACATGCTCTTGCCTTGTAGGAGAGGACCTGGAGGTGGTCCAGCGAGAGGTGGCCAACATGCTGAAGGGCCGCGTGCTCGTCGGCCACGCATTGCACAATGACCTCAAGGTGCGGCCTGAGTGTGTGTGGGTGCACGCGTGGGACTGTCTGCCATCTGCCTGTGGGGGCTCGGATTCTGTGTGCGTGGGCAGAGCTCAAGGCTGACTCGGGGCCCTGGCCTCAGGGATCATTCCTGGCGGGGCTGGAGCCCGGTCGGCGCATGCCAGCAAGCCCTTGGGTCTGTCACAAAGGCTGTCAGGTCTGTCTCCGGGTGACGGAGGCCCAGTGTCCTTGTCCTCAGGATGGCTATCCCTCTCGTGGCCTGCGGGGCCTTGCTGATCTAGGGCTCGGCGCCTCCAGGACCCCCGATCTGCCGGCGCTCCAGCACGTGCTGGATTTTCCTGTGAGACTCTTCAGCGAGGAGGGGATGCATTCCTTTAAGAAGGTCGTGCACAGACACAGCGTTGGATGACAAAGATTGATAGCACAGCGTGGAGGGCACGCACCCTGTGCCAAGCCAGGAACACAGCACGGGCCAGTGTGCTCACTCTGCTGTCCGAGGGAAACAGGCCAGGAGCAGCCCGCGCTGTCCCCAGGCTCTCCTCCAGACACTAGACACTGAACTGTGGCCGGAGCCCGTCCAGCCCCTCTGGGTGGGGAGTCTGACTCTGGGCGGGGCCTCTCCTCCAGGGCCCTGGGGTCTCTGGATCAGAACACTCGTCAGTGCAACTGCAGCCTCTGCCCTATATCTCGGGGCCCTTCCTGCCCCCCACTATCCACGCGTCCCTGCTGTGCTCCTGTTGGGGCCACGGGGGTCCTCTGTCCAGAGCGGCTGTTGGAGGTGGCCGTGAGGGGAGTCCCCCTTTCCAGGGCAGCTGTCGGTGGTGACCATGCAGGGTCCCCCGTCCAGGGAGGCTGTCGGGGGTGGTGGTGGGGGTCCCGTTGTCCAGGACAGCTGTTGGGGGTGGCCATGAGTGTCTCCCTGGCCTCCATTGGTACAAGTGTGTGGGAGTCAGCCACGCCACGTGTCCGGGGGCTGCCTGGGCTCCAGCTGAGCGTGGAGGCATCAGTCCCTGTGTTCGCCCTCAGGTGCTGTTTCTTGATCACCCCAAGAGGAGGATCCGGGACACGCAGAAGTACAAACCTTTCAAAACGCAAGTGAAGGTGACTGCCCAGACCCGGGGGGGGGGCGGGGGGCGCACAGCCGGGGCTGGCCTTGAGGGGGGCAGCATGTCACCCACCCACCCCCCACCCCTACAGAGTGGAAGGCCGTCCCTGAAGCTACTTGCAGAGAAGATCCTGGGGGTCCAGGTGCAGCAGGCCGAGCACTGTTCAGTGAGTGAGCGGGAGGGCCGCAGTTTGGCCTGCGTGGGTGAGGCTGGGGAGGGCATTGCCCCGCTCACAGGTCCCTGGTGCAGCATCTGGCACCCACTCAGATATTGGGCTGGACAGGGCTGGACGCAGGGTACAGGGGCGGGTTGGGGGCCCGGCTGGTCACTGTTGGTCTCAGACCAACTTCCAATTTCCAGGTCCAAGATGCCCAGGTGGCCATGAGGCTCTACGTCACGGTCAAGAAGGAGTGGGAGGCCAGTGCCCAGCGGCGGTGCCCAGCCACCTCTACATGCCCCGGTGCCGATGCGTCCTGACCTGGCAGCCATGGGCACCCCGGCCCCGGAAATCGATGGCAGCAGGGCCACAGGCCTGCCCGCTGCTGGACTTAGCCTGCCCAGCCCGAGTGGGCAGCGGCCAGCCTGGGGGCTGAGTGGGGAGGCGGGTCTGCGGGCGGCAGGAACACAGCACAGACCCGGGCTGATGGGACATAAACGTGCTTTACTCTGCCGCTTGGGTGCTGCTACGCTGGCTCGGGGGCCCAGGGGCGTCGCCATCCTGTGGGGAGAGCCCGCAGGGGTGCTCGGGGTGGGGGGCCTGGGTCTCAGCCAGCCTCTGGAGCACTTCCTCTGCCATGGCCACCAGCTCCTGGAGGAGAGCAGCCGTTGAGGGCACACTGGGGGCCCTGCTGGTGACCCGGCTTCAGGAGGGGTGATGGGAAGTCACTCGCTTTGTACGCCAGGGGTCCCGGGCATGGGCTCAGGGTCTGGACGCTCACCAGGCTGGAGGTGAAGCGCTCCTTAACCTCCTGCACCAGGGGCGTCAGGCCACTGCTCGCCAGCTCCGGGGCGACCTCCTCTGGGGGAGGGGAGAGGCTGCAGCTCCTTCCAGTGGGCAGGGGCCCGCCCCCAGGGCCAACCCCAGCCCGCTGTGCTCACTGTGGGTCGCGAGGTGCGACAGCAGCAGGCACAGTGTCTCCACCACGGCCGGGTCCTCCATGCTGTGCGCGTAGGTCTCTCGGAGGAGGCTCAGGCCCCCATCGTGCAGCAGCCTTAGGGCCGTCAGTTCTGGGGGTTGTGGCGACCAGGCAATGCCAGTCCCTTGCAGGCGGCACCACAGGGCCACCCTACTCACCCCTTTCTCGCAGGCGGAACCGCCTTGCGCCCCTCCCCCACCGGTGCCCTTGGCCTGCAGGCAGACCCCCTTCCTGAGCCGCGGGGGCCTTGGGTTCCGGCCACCCCACCAGGGTCATGTGCGTCATCCCTGCTGCCTGGGCCCCACTTCCTTCTGTGATTAGGGGGCTGAGCCCCTGTCCCCGCCGCCGGGGGTCCTTCTCACCCGACTCTTTGGCCAGGCAGGCCAGCCCACGGTAGGCGTTAGTGACCAGCAGCGCCCGGTCCTGGCCCAGCCGGATGCAGTGCAGGAACAGGCTCGTCAGCTGCTCTGGCTCCTTGATGCAGCCTGTGGGGCCACGGAAGCCTGAACCATGGGGAGCCAGGGTCCCCTGGGCAGCCAGGTCCCCCAGGACTCACCCTGCATGGCCAGCAGCCAGAGGAGGGCACAGCTGCTCTCCGCTATGTCCAGGTCCTCCGGGAAGGCAGTCTGCGCCTTGGTCACGAGGCCCACAGCCCGCTCCAGGGAACCTCTGCCCTTTGGGACCACTGCCACAGGACAGGGTGTGGCCTGTCACGGACTCAGTCCCCGGACCCTGAAGCCATGCTGGGGGATGCCTGGAAGGTGAGGGCACTCTGTCCTCTGGGCTAGTTCTGCAGTAGCTGTGCTGGGGTCACACTGACTGGACCCTGGGCTGGCCGTGCTCCCAGGCCCTGTCCATACCCCGCCAGGGGGCCCTGGGGTGGTGTGGGGAGCAAAGGTGTTGGCCTGTTGCCTCACCGCTGGTTAAGAGGACCCTGAGTAGGTTCAGGGTGCCAAGGCAGAGCTCCCTGTTCGCAGAGAAGAGGGCCAGGTGTTCTAGGATGTGGTCCAACAGTCCAGCTTCCTGCAGCTTGTTGGCCAACCACACTGTGGGTAGCTAGAGCTTAATACACAGAGGCCCCTCCTCCAGGAAGACTTCCCTGACGGCCACCTCCCACCTCCCGTAATCTCAGGCATCGTACTCAGGCTGCCAGGGAGCACCCAGGGGCCCTGTGGAAGAAACAAGGGGCAGAGGCGTCGGGACCCCAGACATCAGGGCTGTGACGCCCAGGGGTTGGCCGCAGCAGGCTGAGGATGCCGCCCACCATCGCTGGCCATGATGGTGAGGACGTCGTAGAGCTGCTTCAGGAGCGGCATCTCGTGGTGGTGCTGCATGAGGCTCATTAGCACAGAGACCAGGAAGCCGCTGCCGGGCACGGGCGCTGCTGGGTCCTGCACCAGCCCTGCGGCACACAGCACGTGGGCCCCCGTGTAGGCCGCCTGCGCAGCATGGGCGGGCCACCCCAGCCCCCCAGGACCCACCGTGGCCCAGCAGGTGCAGCAGCAGGGAGCAGCCACACAGCTGGATGTCCGGGACGTGCTCGTGCTCCTTCAGGACTCTGGCCACCATGTCCACCACCACTGTGGGCCACAGGACACCTGGCGGGGGGGCGCAGAGGCTGCTGGGGACAGACTGGCCTGCAGAGTGGGGCCCGTCCAGCTGTGGCCCTGCCTTGCCCCTCACGGGGACAAAGTGCTGGCACTTGGGGGTAGGGACAGGACGGTGGCGACCCGTGTTCGTTCTCCCGACCTGTGTTCGTTCTCCGGCACCCCCGATGGCTCCCCAAAGCCCCCCGAGTGATCCCTGAGGGCAGAGCCACAAGTCCTGAGCACCCCCGCGCAAGCATACTGGTGCTCAGCCCAGGGCAGGGGCGGGGGTTCAGGCAGAAATGTGTGCCTGGAAGAGGGTGTCAGGTGTCAGGGCCGAGGACAGGGGCCATGGGTCCTACCCAGTGCATCTTCTGGCAGTGCCAGCAGCGTCTTCAGGGCCCTGAGCTGGATATCCGGCTGGCCTGGGAAGTTCTGCATGAGTTCTGCAGAAATGCCCATGGCAGGCTCTGGGTCCACCCTGGCACTGGCTCATCCAGTTCTGTCCAGCACCATTCCTCACCCCCCTCCCCCAGGCAAGGACAGTGGCGTAAGGGTCACCCACACCGTCCGCTCAGCTGGTGGCCTGCAGAGCCCATGGCTGGGGACTCTGCCATGGGGGTCCCTGCCCTGGTCTTCCCTCCAGGGCACACCATGGAGCCGGAGAGTGGGTGACGCTGGCCTAACCTCCAGACCCTGCTGTCGGCTGATCCCAGGGTCCCTGGGCATGTGGCAGGTCAAAGCCCGTGCTGTCCCCTCACCCCACCCCTGGTCTTCAGTGCAGGAAAGGGGCAGGACCTGGCCGCTTGGCCCCAGGAAGCTGAGCCCGCACCCAGGATACTGGCCATGTTGCCCAGCAAGAGCGTGTCCATGGTGGAGCTGGGCAGCGGCTGGCGGGATGTCGACGTGATGGTGGACGAGTGAAAGTGTCCGCTCACAAAGGCGACATGGATCACCTCCCTGGGGAGGCACAGTGAGGTGGGAGACCGTCGCACCATTTGCTTCTGGGCAGCAGGGTCGGTGCCCAGGGCTGCGTGCATGGTGGGCGCGCGCTCTGGGTGCCAGCCTCTCCCAGGGCTGAGCACAGGCGTGTTGTGGGGAGGGCCTGGGCTGGAGCCGGCACGCAGAATGTGGCCCCCAGTGGAATGATGTTCAGTGGGCTAGAATCATGTCGCTTGCTGCATCTTGGAGCATGATGGAGAAGGCAGTCCGGGGCCTGGCACGCGGCCTGCAGCACGTGTGGGGACCTTGGGACACCCCCCAACCCCTCGTGGCCTGGACAGGGCAGCCGGGGTGCCCAGGGAGAGGGGGCCGGGGTGGGTGGGGGAGGTGACAGGGTGGCTGGAGCGCGGATGGGTGGGGGTTGTCGATGGGATTGATGGGGGGACGGGGACGGGGGGGTGCGGGTGGCCTACCGTATGTCTATGCGATCCGCAGGGTTGATCTCCAGCATCAGGGGCAGGAGGGTGCAGAAGGTCCGGGCATCAGGGATGGCCCTCTCCTGTATGGCCATCAGGGCACCTTCCAGGCTTTCTGGAAGGTTCCGGATGGCTTTCCGCAGCTGGAGCGCTTCTTCCTTCTGAGAGAGGAAGGTTTGTCCCCTTGCTTTTCCACTCCGGGGAGCAGAGCAGACAGGGCTGGCCTGAGGTGCGCCGGGCCCCCGCCCACTCCCTCTCTGTCCAGCAGGGGACTGAGAAGCTGACTGGCCCTGCCCAGCCCTCTGTCCCTGCAGGGCCAAGGGCAGCTCACCCCGAGGAAGGAGCAGCTGACCAGGTCCAGGATGATGCAGCCCAGCGACCAGATGTCGGATTTGTGGGTGAAGGAGAAGTTGAGCGCTTCCGGGGCCATCCAGGAGCGATTCAGGGGGTCTGTGGGGGCGCAGGATGCTGCAACGGCAGGAGGCCCGCGCTGGAGGGCCCCTGCATACCCCGAGCCCCAGAGGAGGTGTGAGCAGGACCGCCAGGGAGGGAACAGGGCTGGGTGCAGGAACCCCACCCCCGCCCCACCCTCCGTGCTCCACCCTCATCCTCACCCACCTGTCACCCGCATCCAGCCCCCCGCTGGCCCCCAGAGCAGAGCCCCCATCCCTGCTTCCGGGGCGTGCCCCTCTGGTCTGCTCTGCGCAAAGGGGCCATGTCACCAAACCCGCCCTGTGGTACCCAGGGGCCCGGCTCCAGCACTTTTCTTTCTTTGTCTCTCTCTTTTTTTTTTTTCTTTCAGTTTTGGGCCACCCCTGGCAGTGCTCAGGGCTTCCTCCTGACTCTGCACTCACGGATCACTCCTGGTGGTGCTCGGGGACCCTATGGGATGCTGGGGATTGAATCCAGGTCAGCCGGTGCTCTACCTGCCGTGCCATCTCTCCAGCCCAAGGGGGTCATGTTGTCTGGGTGGGTCCGCACCAATTCTCAGTTTTGGGCCTTTCATGGGAGGGGTCACTCCCACTGGCCAGTCTCCAGTGGCTGAACTCTGCACAGCTCCTGGACAGGTCAGTTAACCTTTGCTCCCTGGAGCAGCCCCTGGGGTACATCTGTCAACCAGGGGTCTGTCTCTGCAGCCCACGGCAGGGGTATCTGGAGGGCCCGAGGAGGAGGCTCTGTGCTGCCTTGTGGAGCCCCCCACACCCCAGCCGCAGCCCCCACACCTTCGTCAGCACGCAGGGTCCACTTGGCCTTGTCGGTCATCAGGGCCTGGGAGCTGAGGTCCTGCAGTCTGCAGCGGTGGCTGCTCACAAGGGCGATGTTGGACGGCTTGAGGTTCCTGAAACCCAGAGGGTCTCCTTCCTCCGCGGGGGTCTGCGGGCCACGGCCCTGCTCCCTACACAGCCCACAGCGCTCCCGAATCGCTCGTGCCTAAAGCTGCGTCCCGGCCTGAGCATCAGCGGTGCCTCACCGCCAAACGGTCTCCCACACACGTGGCCGGCTCCCGAGGCCCAGCCGGCTCTGACGTCCTCCTGGACGTGTGCAAGGGCTGACCGTGAGCTGCCCAGCCCAGCCCGCCCCGGGCACCTGTGGATGATGCCTGCTTGGTGCAGGTACTCCAGCCCGTTCAGCACCTGGCCCAGCATTTCCTGCAGCCACTGTGGGGAGCAGACAGGCCATGAGAGTGCGGGGCCCTCGTCCTCAGCACCCCCGTTCCCCCTGCCCCCGAGCCAATGGGAGGGAGGCCAGGGGTGCCCCGTCAAGGAGGGCGCTCCTAAGAGAACAACGAGCTTCCCAGGTACCCCCCCCCACTGAGACCCCAGGACCCCGAGGGCACTAGGGACACTGAAGTCTTCAGTGGCCCCCTCTGTCAGAACAGCAGCAGAACATTCTGGAAGCCTCCAGAGCCAGTAACAAGGTGCACCAACTGGCACATCACAGCTCAGTAAACCCCCGGATGGTAATTTAGTAGCACTCTGGTGAAATCTGTAGTAGCAAAATGAACCAAAGTATCTGTATCCCTGGTTGCTACAGAGGATGGGTGGGTGGTGGGGGTATGGGACTGGCACTAGAGCACTGGGTGTCTAACACAATTGTACTGTGAGCACTTTGTAAACCACGGAGTTTAAGTCAAATTTCAAACATTCAAGAGAGAAAGGTGGGGCTGGAGGGGAAGTGCCCAGGGGTGGGCGCTGGCCCAGACCATCCCCGGCATCCCACACACCCAAGTGCAGAGCCAGGAGCTACCCCTGAGCATCGCCAGATGCCCTCCACCCCAGAAAAATTAAAATAACTTAAAAGAAATCCCAGCCAGGGTCCACACAGTGCCCTCTAGATGCCAGACAGCCTGGCACAGAGCCACTCCAGGCCCAGGTGGGTGCCAGGACCCCCTGGGAAGGAGGCTCATCTGAGGGGTCGGCTGAAGGCATGTCTGGCACCAGCCCAACCCCATCCCACAAGTCACACCTGCTCCCCTGGGCACAGGCCTGCACAGAACCACCGAGGAAAGAGGCCCCAAAAGAGGCGAAGACATAGAGAACAGGGTCAGGGAGGTCCCAGGACCCCTGTATCTGCAGGACGTCCACTACTCAGAACGTTCAGCACCCCACACTCAGGAAATCATCAGCATGCTGGGGCCATGGCCGCCCTGCCCCCAGAGCTGCCGTCCAGGACTGCACAGCTGTGGTCACTAGTTTCAGGACGGGAGTGACCCCAGAACATGCCACCTGCCTTGGGACAGGCTGACCTCTGACCCCAACACACACCAGGTGGTGGCACTGCTCCCCACACGCCCATGTCTGCACCAGACCCAGCGGGTGCCCTCTGAGACGGGACCCTTGCGAACAGAGGGTCTGAGGCGCAGGCCAGTGACCAGGGTCCCCATGCAGGGTGAACTGTGGCAGAGTCGGGAGCGAGCCCCAGGCAAGTGCTCAGCCTGTCCCCCCAACCTGCACCCGCTCCAGGCACCGCCGCCCGCTGACCTTAGCCTCGAGGATGGTCCTGCTGTCCCGCTGCCTGTCAATGACCGTCTGGAAGGTCTCAGCGCTCCAGTGAGTCACCAGGCAGAGAAAGAGAGCCGAGATCTGGGGGGACATGCCTGGGTCCGGCCACTGCCTCTCCTCTCCCCGTCCCTCCTGCCCCCTCCCCGTGACACCCTTTCCTCCCCCGCCCCCCTTCAGGGGCTCATTATTGTGGGGAGGGGCCAGCACCCCTCACGGTCCAAGGCCTCCTGGAGCACATTCGGAGGCTGGGACATCCAGACGCCTGCGGGAAGGTCCTGCCCAGTTTTCCTTGGGTCCCAGCGAAGGAGAAGGAGAAGAATGTGAGGGGACCCCCATCCCATCCTGTGGACCTTGCAGGTAGGGAAGCCTGCTGGCAGGCACAGTGCTTTTCCCAGGGAGGGCTGGGAGTCTAGGGGGCGCAGGTGAGAGTCCAGCCCCCCCCCCCGCCAGCAGGTGTGGTGCGGCCTAACGCACCTTGCTGTCCCAGACGATGAAGAGTTCCCGGTACGGGGACACGTGTGCATGATGGAGCTTCAGCAGGGGCATCAGCTGCGGGTGGGCGACCCCTCAGCACTGCGCAGCCCCCGACCTCTCTGAGCCCCCAAGTCCCTCCAGAAGTGGTGCCACATGGCGTGGGTCTGAGCTGCACTGGAGACCGGTGTATAGGGGTGGGTGCCGCCAACAGCGGGGGCATGGAGATCCCAGGCCGGGCTGGGGTGGCACCCATGTCCCATGGGGGTCAGCCCTGTTTGCTACCTGAGCTGGAATCAGGGGCGGGGGCATTGCATGAAGGGTCAGATGAATGTGAGGCCAGGTACGCGGACTGGGCCCTCATGTCCTCCCCGTCAGACCCCTCCTCCTTCCCCTCGCTGCTGAGCGCCGAAGCGGCTGGCAGAGCTCGGGGCTCGTGATTCTGGTGGGAAGCAGATGACCGTGGGTCGGGCCTCTGCACACGCAGCGGTACTGGGGCAAAGCAGAGTCCCCACGGCTGGGGGTGGGCAGTTCCCTAGGGTCCAGTGATGTAGATATGGCAGTCAAAGAGAAAAGTCATGACCAAGGCCGGACTCCGTGTCTCACATGTGGGAGCCCGGGTTCGAGCCCTGACACCACATGGTCCTCCAAGTGACTGAGCCAGGAGTAGTCCCTGAGCAGAGCCGGGCATGGCCCTGAGCCAGCGCTAAGATCATCCAAGTACTCAGCCCAGGGCCCGAGCCCACCTTAGGCGTTCGCTTTTCTGGGAACTACGTCTCCAGCCCAAGTTTAGAGCCACCTTCGGGACTTCCTCCAGGTTCAACCAGTCCCGCAGCCCCACCCACCCTTAAGAGGGCCAGAGACTCACCTCCTCCAGGGCCTGGCTGGCGTGGTGCTCATCCATGCACTGCACCTGCAGGCAGAGCAGCCGTTCAGTAGCCGTGCCCGCCCAGCGACACCACTCCCCCTCCCACGTCACCACCTGAAGAGCATGAGTTGGGTTTGGGGGGTTTAGGCCATGCCTGGCCATGCTCGGGGGCTGTCGTGGCTCTGTGCTGATGTGCAGCTGGTGGGGTGCAGGCATCGCGCTGTGCCAGGGCTCAGCCTTCACCTCTGTGCCATCTCCAGCCTCCCATGCCTATCAACAACCGTTGCCACATCCCACAGTATCATCTCAGTGTTTTGTTTTGTTCTGGGCCATCTCCAAGTTTGCTCAGAGCTGACTCCTAGCTCTGTGCTCAAGGATCACTCCTGGAAGGGCTCAGGGGAGCAGGGATCAAACTCAGGTTGGCCACTGGCAAAGCAAATGCCCTCCGAACTGTACCATCTCTGGCCTCACCATCTTACTAATATTACCACCACTGCCATGTTAATTCACCATTTCAACCACCAACAGCATTACCATTGAGACCATAACCACCGTCCCCAGCATCACTGTGCTGTGACATAACCATTCTCACCATATTTTCCACCAGTATCACCAGGGTCACGGTCACTGTCACCTTCTTCCCGCTCACATCACTGTCACTGCTGCTAGCCTCAGCACCCTCATGATCATGAGCCCCACCTCCTTTTCCCACACCACCAGAACTGCCGTCCTAAATCATCATCCCTTGGGGTGGGGTGGGGGGGCTCGCACACTCACTCCCCAGCCCTGGCACCAGAAGGGGCCTGCAGATGTTCCCTAGGCAGGTAACGCCGATGCTTCTGTGCTAAGGAGAAGCTGGAAACAGGAAATCAACCCCAGGGAACAGAGACCCGTTTTCCGACCTTGAACACAGGGGGGAAACTCTGCTCAGCTTTGTTCTGCCTGGTAGTCTCAGCCCGCTACTGTGTTCCTGACCTGATTTGGAAAAACTGTCCCTGTCACTAAATGTCCGGTGGTGGTGGGTGTGCGGAGGGGACCGTGGCACAGCTGCGAAGGTGCCGGCCTTGCAGATGGCTGGCGCAGGTTCGATTCCCAGTACCACATATGAAGCCTGTCTGCTTGCCTGCCTGCCTTCCTCCTTCCTCCCTCCTTCCTCCTCCCTTCTTCTTCCTCCTACCCCCCACCTCCCTCCCTGCTTCCCTCCTTCCTTCCTGTGCCATTGTTGGGTCACACCTGGCAGTGCTCAGGGCTTCCTCCTGGCTCTGTGCACAGGGATCACTCCTGGTGGGCATCCTCCCCGCTGTCCCACTGCTTCCCTGGAGTATGTGGGAGGCCCTGATCCCATCCTGAGCACTCATGATTCCCCAGCATTTGGGTTCACCCCATTAGAGCTCGGATTGCAAGTGCCAATTTGCTCCCCCAACCCCCAGTGAGAGAGGCGAGGATGCTGGTTCTGACCACCAGGGGGCGCTGCCCACACGGAAGCCTCTTGCGGCTGCCAGCCGGCTGCACCCCAGGGTTGCCCGGGAAGCGCTTTCCCAGGACTCTCCGTCCCACCCAGCGGAGAGGGGTCTGCGCTGCCCCCACCCAGTTCCAGCAGGGAGCTGTCCCTGCCCATAGCCTCCCTCCTGCTGGTGCCTGGAATCCGCGTTCTGGGGAAGGTACAAGAGAGTGAATCAGGGTTGGGCATCACTCTGCTGAGTGGGGCGGTGGTCCCTGTGAGCTGTCCTCGGCTGGGGCACTGCCCTCTTAGTCAGCCAGGGCTGAGATGCAGGAGCGGCCCTGCCCTGCAGGGGGACCCCAGGACTGCAGGGGTGCACGTGGTTTGGGGAGCCGTCACCCACCGCCACTACCTGCTTGATTAGGAACTTCTCCCGGGTTCCTCGCTCCTGCACCACCAGGTTCACCCCCAAGGCCCCCGGAGGCAGCTGCTGCAGAACCTGCTGGGACAAGGCGGCTTTGTCTCCACGAACGATTTAGGGGTTTAGGGGCTGTACGCTGTGGGCCTTTCCTCCTCACCGGGTCCCCCACTGTCCCCTCGGGGCCCCCTGCCCCTTCGCCAAGGACACCTGGGAGCTGAGCAGAGGGTCTACGTTTTCCTTCTACCCCCCGTAATCCAGCTCTAGGCAGGGCACCTAAACAAGGACATTGCAGGTCAGAGCAGGTGTGGTCATAACAGTAGCCCTGGGTGCGCCTGGCACCCAGGCCACTGTGGCACTCCACATTCATAAAGAGCCTCAGGTGTCACCTGGGTTACAGTGCTCCTGAGTGGGGTTGCTTGGAGTGGATGGACGCTGGGGGTGTGCTTTGAATCCCACCTGAGGGACAGCCACCAGGCTCTGCCCCGGGGAGACCAGGGCGGTGGAGCGGGCAGGGGTGAGCAGAGGCGGGAGGAGGGGGTGGGAGCGAGCTGGGAGCCTCAAAAAGATTGAGGGTTTCTGTGTTTGAATCTGGCCACACCTGGTAGTGCTCAGGACTAATTCCAGACTCTGCACGCAGGAACTTGTCCTGCACTGGGGGGCAGATGAGGTGTGGGAGGGGGGGAGCCCGCTCAGCTACCCGTAAGGCGAGCACCCTACCCACGATGGCTTTGGCCTGGAAAGATTCAGGATTCTGAAATCTAGCCCTTGTGGGGGCCTGAACGCTGCTCAGCATGTGTCTGGGACAAAATCCTGAGCCCCTAAACTGCCAACAGCACTTATGGCCCTCATACTTCCCGATGGTTCCAGTAAAAAGGAAAATCCATCAGGTGCAGCGCATTTTATTAAATTTTGGGGTTTGAGACCAAACCCAGCAATGCTTAGGGGTACCTCCTGGCTGTGCATTCAGAAATTACTCCTGGCAGTGCTCAGGGGACCATATGGGCTACCCGAGATTGAACTCGGGTCGGTCGTTTGCATGCCAGGCAAGTGCCCTGCCTGTCCCTAAAGTGTGTACTACCCCCCCCAGAAAATGCTAAGTGTTTTGGGGCCATGTTGCACATGGCTAAGCCAGGCTTGATCCCTGGCATCCCAGACTGTCCCCCTGAGCACTAACAGGAGTGATTCCTGCACACAGAGCACCAAGTGTGGCCCCAAAACAAAAAAAAAACAAGAAAAACTAAAACTGCTTTCTTGTGATTTTTGGGTCACATTTGTCTCTGCTTAAGAGTTGCTCCTGGTGGTGCTGGGGGACCCCTAGGGTGCTGGGGTAGGAACCCCAAGACAGGCAAAGCCTGCACCTCAGCTCTCTGGCCCTCAGATGCTGTCCCATCCCCGTTGGTATTGTGTGCTTCCTTTGGTTCAGGGCAGTTTTCAGGTTCTCAACTTTCCACAGCCTGCTAAGGGCTTGCTAAGGCCCTGGCGTCTGGCTCTAGAAGGCTCTACCTGCCGGGGCCGACATTTAATTTACTATCGTAGTAAGGGGAAACTGAGGCCAGGGCGGCAAGCCAAGGTCACCCAGGAAATCACCACCTATGCTGGAGACAGGACCCTGGCTCTGTCCTCCACTGTCGGCCAGGGCCAGCTGACCGTTAACCCCCAAGTGGACTTGAGCCCGACGGCCCCTGAGTTTCCACGAGGATCCCTTCGGCACCTGGTAGTTTTCCATCCCGTACGCAGGGCAGTCTCCAGACTGGCAGCCCGCCTGGGCGCTGGGGGTGCAAGCACAGCTGGTGCTCACAGTCAGACCCTCGGCTGAGGGCGCTCAATCGAGTCCGCGTCGTGCGAGCACCCCATTCCCCACCCCGAACGATTCCATCGTGCGTGGTCCGCGGAGGAACCCAAGCGTCCGTCCCACGGCCAGCCACGAGGGCCGGGCTGCCTCCTTAAAGAGGCCTCCGAAACCGGCGCAAGGACCCCGCGACTAACTGTTGCCTGGCGCGGTCTCTAGTGAGACCAGAGGGGCCGAAGGCGCCGAGAGCGAGGCCAAGAGCGCGGGGGCGGGGCCCGGAAACGAGGTGAGCCAGAGTGCGGGGGCGGGGCTTGAGGGCGAGGGGCGGGTCAGGGTGTGGGCACGCGGCCTAGGAATCAGGCGGGCCAGAGCATGGGGGCGTGGCCTGGGAAGAGGCGGGCCAGGCCGTGGGGGCGGAGCCTGGGAAGAAGCGGACAGGTAGGAGCGTGGGGTGCCTCGGCGCGTGGGGGCGTGGCCTGGGAGGCGGGCCAAATCTTAGGGGCGGGGTCTGAGGGCAGGCGGGCGGGGCGGCGCTTGGGGGCGGAGCCTGAGCGCGGGAATCGGGCCTCCGACCGGGGGGCGGCGGGGTGCTGGGCCCGCGGCGAGAGGGCGAGAGCGTGGGGGCGGGAGCCGGGGGCGCCGGGCGGCGGGCCCGGAGCGCCGGGGGGCGGGGTCGAGCGCGGGGCGGGGCCGGGGCGCCGGGCGGCGGGCGGGCGGCGCGGCCCCTTTAAGGCGCGGCCGGGGCGGGCCGGCGGCGCGGCCCCTTTAAGGCTTGGCCTACGTGGCAGCCGCTGGAGCTGCGGACGCGGAGCGGGGCCGGCGGCCGGGCACTTCCTGTGGAGGCCGCAGCGGGCGCGGGCGCCGACGCCGACGGGCCGAGCGCCGAGCGAGCGAGCGAGTGAGCGAGCGAGCCGAGCCTCCCGCCGCCGCCATGGGCCAGAACGACCTGATGGGCACGGCCGAGGACTTCGCCGACCAGGTGCGGCCCGCCCGGGCCCGCGCCCCCCGCGGGCCGCGCCCCTCCCCCACGCGGCCCGCCGCCGAGGCTCGGAGTGGGTGCCGGGCGGGGGGCGGGGGGCGCGGGCAGGGCCGGGGACCCCGCGGCTCGCCCCCAGGCCGGGCCCTGCCCGCGGGCAGGCGGACCCCGCGGAGGGGATCGCGCCGGGGCCCCGTTATCCCCGCGCGCGCCCGGGCTGGCCCCGCGCCCCGGGCGGGCGGAGGGGGCGGGCGGCGAGGCCGGGGTCCTCCCGGGGGCGTGGGCGCCCGCGCGTGGTCCCCGCCCGCCGGGGGTTGCTCGGGGCGCCGGGCCCCACGGGCTGGTGTTCCAGAAGCAGTTTGGGGGAGTGGGGTCCGTTTGGAGCCGGTGTCCCCCGCCTCTCGCCGTCGGAATCTCCGCGTGCAGCCGCTGCCCCGCAGGACCCGGCGCGCTCGCGCTGATGGACTCGCAGTGACCCACTTTCTGGCTCCGCGTAGCGGCTCCCCGACGGGCAGTGGGCGCCCCTCGGTGCGGCCGGGCAGCCCGCCGGGCAGCCCGCGGTGTTGCAAGCGAGTTTCCCAACCTCCTCCTGCCCCGCCCGTCCCGTGAGGGGGACGGGGTCACTGGGAAGGTGGGCGGGCTTGCCGAGGCCCCTGACCGGCCTGGGGTACCGTCCCGGGACCCCACCTCGGTGTGGCACTGAGGTCCCTTAGCTTCTAGGCACAACCCCTCCAGGGTGGGGAGCGAGGCCGAGGGGGCAGCAGATGCCCTCCCTCTTTGTGGGGGATGCTTGGATACTCAGGCGGGCCTGGCGTGGAGGGAGAGGCAGTGGCAGGTGCAGGTGCAGAGCGAGGCTTCCTGTGGACAGCATCTGGTCGAGCTGGGGTGCCCTTCGGTTTGTCCCACCTCCTCCCAGAATCCTAGGAGCGCCCCAGTAAGGACCGTGCTGGAGGCAAGGCTTGGAAAGTAATCCACTTCAAAAGTGGCTGGGAGTGGACCACAGAATCTCAGGAGGCAAAAACAAAAGCAAAATCGCTGGGGCAGGCCGTGAGGGCACGTCGGAGCTGCCCGCCGGGTGCTCCCCAGGTGCTCCTGGGTGCTGACGGTGATATTCAACCTTTGCCCTTGCGGGGCGCTGGGCCACTGACCGCTGGAGCCTGAGCCACTGGCCCTGTCTTCTCTCTCTCCCACAGCAGAGGGGTCTGGGGGGGTCCGCGTGGGCCTCTAGACACAGAGGCAGAGAGCAAGCTGGGTAGTGTCCACCCAGGACACGGACACCTCGCTTTGGGCAGTGGGGACAGTGGTGTCCTCCTGGGTGTCAAGGGTGGAGAAAGTGCTGAGTGTGCTGTGGGACGTCCTGGGAGCCAGCTGAGAGCAGGTGGACACCCGCGGGGGGGGGGGGGGGGCGAGTCAGCCTTCATGGCCTCTCACCATGGTGACAGGCCATGAGGTCTTGCTGTCCAGCGTGGTCTCTGGGGTTTTCATCAGCCTTCGCCAGGCGGGGGACCTGGCACCCCCAGGAGCTGCCTGGGCTTCTGGTCAGATGGTAGTGTATGAGGTGGAACCTGTAGGACATTGGGCTGGGCACAGCAGGGCTGTGTCCCCTCTCCATGTGGCCTGTGGCTCCTCTCCTGATAGAGCGTGCCCCACTCTGTGGCCTTGTGGTCCCCTGGGCCATCTGGGCTGTGAGTCGCTGTTTTCCTCCTACCCACCCTGGTAGCAATTCTGCCCCCCCCCCCCCCCCCGCACTGTGATGAGGGGTGGTGGCCCCTGGCCGGGGGCACCTTCTGTCTCCTCCCTCAGGCATGAAGGTCTCAGCAGAGGGGTCGGAGCCTGTGCTGGCTCGTCTCAGGCGGGCAGGGGCGCAGGGATGGATGCGGTCTGTGGGGAGGGCTGACTCTCTGCTTCCCCTTAATCCCCTGGCCCAGACACTCAATTACAAGGCTGACTCCAGGAGCAGTGTCTCACCTGCTCCCTGGGGCGGGCTGGCAGGGGTGAACCTCTGTGCCTGCACTGCTTTGCTGTCCCCCTTCCAGCCCTCCTGGTCATTCTGCGGGCCTGGCTGTCCCCGTGTCCACCCCAGGCTGGTCAAGACAGAGGTGTGGGGCTGTGCCTGGCCTTCCTCACACAGCTGGACCAGAAGTGGGATGGGGGGCTTGGGGTGGTGGTGTACACAGTCTGTGGACCCCCAAACCCACATAGGAGCACTCGGGCCTTTCTTCGGCCCGGGCCCTTTCAAGTTGGGAAAAGACCCCTCGCCCTCGCCCGGAGGGCTGTAGGTAGCCCCCCAAGGTGCTGGCTTCTGCGGGACCCCCTAGCCCTTGTGTGGGTGTGGCATCCCCCTGCCTGCAGCTGGTTGTGGGGGTTGCTGCCACCCTTCCTCTTTGGGGCCCCTGAGGAGTGCAGACCCTGCCTGGGGTGCAGTCTAGGTTTTCAGATGCCCCCCAGGGAGTCCCACTCTGGCTGCCTGTTTTGTCCAGGCCAGATTAGTCAGCCCTTGGAGGCTGTGACACGCACCAGGGGTCAGACTTTAGACTCCTGCCACATCGCAGAGGGTGGGTCCGATCTTGCCCCGAGCGAGGTCCTCCTTATCAGAGTCTAGGACTTCCCCTCCCTGTCTGCCTGTCTGCCTGCCTGTGACATTTGTACTCCCGTTTGTGTGAATTCAGGGGTGGCCCGGGACCCTTGTTGTCCTATTGCCAGGAGTCTGTGGAGCACTTGGGCCGCCTCTGGTGGTGTTCGTGTGGCTGCTCACTCTCAGTAGGAAATGCACCCCACTTCCTGGCTGCTGCGGGGCTCGCTACTGTGGCGGCTGTGGGTGCCACTAGGCCCAAGTGTGTCCCCCCCCCACCCCCCCGGCTTCGGTCTGTGTGTTTGGGAGCTGGTCTGGGGTGCGGCTGGTGGGGGGCATGGGCGCTCATGGACTCACGGGGCCCTGTGCGCAGTTCCTGCGGGTGACCAAACAGTACCTGCCACACGTGGCACGCCTATGCCTGATCAGCACCTTCCTGGAGGACGGCATCCGCATGTGGTTCCAGTGGAGCGAGCAGCGCGACTACATTGACACGACCTGGGGCTGTGGCTACTTGCTGGCCTCCTGCTTCGTCTTCCTCAACCTGCTGGGCCAGCTAAGTACGTGGACCAGCCCGTGACTCTGGGAAGTGGGTGGGACGGACTGGGGTCCCCGGGCCGCGAGTCACCGTATGTACCCCTTCCCGCAGCTGGCTGCGTCCTGGTGCTGAGCAGGAACTTCGTGCAGCACGCCTGCTTTGGGCTCTTCGGCATCATCGCACTGCAGGTGAGTGGTGCCACCTTGTGGCGAGCGGCGGGGAGGCTGGAGCTCTGGGAACCAGGCCCATCGGCCATGTCCCACGCTTCCTCCCTGACAGGACACAACACGGGGCAGGGGCCGGGATGGGTGTGCTGCAGCCGGAACTACCTCACCTTGCCTGTCAGGGCACCCCGCCCCCATCCCGGGGCCAGAGCTGCCCTGGGTGTCCTCACCTTGTGGTGACCTGAGACTCAGGCCCTGCCCCTCTGTCCCCACAGACAATCGCCTACAGCATCTTGTGGGACTTGAAGTTTCTGATGAGGTGCGTGCCCGCCGGGAGGGCCCCTTCCTGTCTTGGTTGGTGGGTGCCGCCCCTGCCCTGGGACGCCTGCGAGGACCCCCTCTGAGCCTGCCTGTCTCCGCAGGAACCTGGCCCTCGGCGGCGGGCTGCTGCTGCTGCTGGCTGAGTCGCGCTCAGAGGGCAAGAGCATGTTCGCGGGCGTGCCCACCATGCGGGAGAGCTCCCCCAAGCAGTACATGCAGCTGGGTGGCCGCGTGCTGCTGGTGCTCATGTTCATGACCCTCTTGCACTTCGACGCCGGCTTCTTCTCCGTGAGTGCCCCCGCCTGTACACATCCCGGGAACTCCAGTGCGGCTCCTCGTTCCTGCGCTCACTGGTTTTGGGGTGCTGGTGGCATGGCCATGGCTGCAGTCAGTGGCCCCAGGTTCAGACTTGACGGCCTGTACGTGGGCACTTGGCCCTTGTGTTCATCGGGGTCCCCTTCTCTTGTACCCTGTGCAGATCCTGCAGAACATTGTGGGGACGGCCCTGATGATCCTCGTGGCCATTGGCTTTAAGACCAAGCTGGCGGCCTTGACTCTGGTTGTCTGGCTGTTCGTCATCAACGTGTACTTCAATGCCTTCTGGACCATCCCTGTGTACAAGCCCATGCACGACTTCCTCAAGTACGACTTCTTCCAGACCATGTCGGTGATCGGGGGGCTGCTCCTGGTGGTGGCGCTGGGCCCCGGCGGCGTCTCCATGGACGAGAAGAAGAAAGAGTGGTAACAGCCCCCGGCTGAGACGGGCGGACTGTGCTGCAGTCTGGCGGCCAGCGTTTGTCCCCTCCCCCCTGGTAAAGGCACAGATGTTTGGAGAACTTTATTTGCAGACGCCTGACAATTGACAGTCCCATCTGCTGGGCCCCTGGCGGCCGACGGGGTGCACCTGCCTGTCTGGGCGGGCCCTGGCTCCCCAGGCTGTGATTCTAGATTTCTCTGGGGGGCTGGGGAGGACCTTGGCGCTGTCCTGTGAGCAGATACACGGTGCATCCCTTGAAGCAGCCTCGCTCCCTCTTCTTTTAAGTTTACGTTTTTAGCTCAAACTACTCAATGATTTGGGGTGGCCCCACCTGCAGCCCCGGCTCCCTGAACTGGAAGGGATGCGACTTCCGAGTCAGGGCAGCTGAAGCTGCCCCAGCCGGGACCTGTCTTGGGTTGGCGCCCAGTGTTTCACGGGGCGATCCTGGGGGCCGGCTGGCCAGCCCTGCAAGTGACAGGCCTTGGGGCGCAGAGCAGTTACCTCACACCTGGCCTTCCCAAGGCTGCCGCTCGCTCAGACCCCGTCTGTTTGTTATGCCGAGTGCAGCTCATTACTCTGTACGACTTGCGATGCCTTACCGACCGGGTCCGAACCCTGTATTTAAAGTTTTCTAACATTGCCTTACACTGCATCTCTCTTTTTGGGGGTGGGCATGTGGGGTTCTTGGGACCCTGGGCCTCCCCGGTTCACCCGCTCTTTATTCCGGTGTGCTCCTGTGGAGGGGAGCTCCTGGCCCCTCGTCTCATTCAAGTGGCCCCTCGGAAGGAGTTTGGGGCAGGGCTGAGCCCAGAACGGCGCAGTCCCCAGTGGGAGCAGAGACCAGACTATCGGTTTCCTGGAAGCGCTTTATGGGGTAACAGGTGCTATTCCTGCCACCACACGTGGACACATCCTTCTGGCTGGGTGCACGCGGCTGGACGCTGGTCTCTAACGGGTCTGTTTGCGAGCGCCAAGGCTTCTGGGCTTCCCCGCAGAGCCCCGCCTCTGCCGTCGCCGCTGCTGCTGCTGCTGCTGCTGCTGGTGGCAAACAGGGACTCAGCAGGGCTTCCCATGTCCCTGCACCCCACCCTGCTCCCTGCATCCCTCACCACCTCTCACCTTCCTGCGTTTGGGCACCAGCTCCTCATCTGGAGCGAGGTCCTCGGCCCCAGCCTTTGGGGTGAACAGCTCAGCTGTGGGGGGCAGGGCACAAGCTCAGAGACCAAGTGTCCGAGTGGCGGGTGGGCAGGGGAGGGCCAAGGCCGTGCTGCTGCTTACGTGGGTACAGGTCCGTCATGCTGTCGCCACTGTCACTCAGCGTAGCACCCTCGTCCTCACTGGACACGGGTTCCCAGAAGGCTGCCCTGGGCCCAGGTGGCGCGTCCCCGTCCGCGGGGCCTGCCCTCTTCTTCCGCTGGTTTAGGAGGCAGGCAGGCACATACTCCACGCCCCGCTCCTTGCACTCGGCGTCTGCAAGAGACAGCGCTGACCTGTCAGCCGGCCCGGCCTTGCGAGCTGCTGGCTGAGGCCAGAATCGTTGCTCAAGGAGGGAGCACCACAGGCCAAGCAGCCGGGACACCGTGCCTGCTGTGTCCTGAGGACTGGACAGCCATCCACTGGTCCCTGCCTCCAAGAGACAAACAGGCCCTTCTTAGAGCGCCACCTTGCCGCCAGCCAGACCCTCACGAGCCCTGCTCCCCACCACACCTGCTCCTTCAGTGCAAACAAAGACTGGAGAGCAGACAGCACCCAAACCTGCAGCCTGGTTGTCCTTCGAAGATGCCCCCACACACACACCCTGAAGCTGTCAGGGTGGCCCTTTTCCTATAGAATCTGTCTCCTGGACTCATCTCACTGCTCCAAGCAGGAGCTCTGGGATTTGAGTCAACCCCACCCTACGCCCCCGCCCCCAGTTCTCCTCACATAACTGACCTGCCAGCACCAGCTGACCCAAGCCCAGCCTTCTCCAGAGTGGCCACACGGCCGCGCTCCCACAGTCCTGCCCCACTCTGGGCTCTGATGCCCATCTGCCCTTCCAGTCCCACCTTCCCTGGCAGCCAGCGCTCATCTCAGTCACCTCCCACAGGCCCTGAGGACCCTCTGTGCACAGCTATGCTCAGCCCCACCCCATCTCAGCGCAGCACTGCCCCTGCCCCCTCCAGGCAGGCCCCCCACCCACTTACACTTGTGCAGAGCCCGCTGGTAGCGGCGGCCCTGGGTGTGCCGAAGCACGTGGGCAGGGGACTTGTTGATGTGCCGGAGGGTGAGTTTGCAGAAGAGCTGGAGCCTGGGGTCGCGGACAGGTGGCACTCAGCGGGTGAGCACTTACAGAGTGTGTGGGGAGGGGACCCTGGGGCCCACTGAGCCCGGAGAGGGAAGGCTCGGCCCGGCCCCGGGATGAAGAGGCCGGCACCGCCACCCGCCCCTCGGGCGCCTCCCCTCACCGCTTACGGGTTCTTGGTGCTGGGCACGATGTGGGGCTCGAACCGGGCATAGTCGAAGGCCGGGTCGGGCGCGGCCAGCCTCCGGTACTTCTTGCCGCGGGTGTAGACCTGGAGCTCGGGCAGGCGGCAGGGCAGCTCGTGGCCAGTCAGCTCACACCTAACCTGTGGGCGGGGCGGGCGGCGCTGGTTCGAGGAACGTGGGGTCCCGGCGCGGGTCGTGCCCCCCGGGGCGCGGCGGGGTCGCGGCGCAGACCTTGCCGGTGTCGGGCTGCGGCCGCAGGCTCGGATGCTCGCGCAGGAAGGCGCGCAGGTCGCCAGGCAGCTCGTCCATGACGCGGACGCCGGAGCCCGAGCCGGGACCACGTGGGCGGGGACGGGCCGAGGCGCCCCGGAAGCAGATGCCTCCGCGGCCCGGAAGTGCCCGCGAGCGCGATGGCGGCGGCCGCTGCTCGGATCCTGGGGCAGTGGGTGCGGCGCCGGCCGCCGTTGCTCGCGGCCGGTCGGTGTCCGCGGGCCCCGCACACAGGTGAGTACTTGGCCCCGGGCCGGCTGGCGCCCGGACGCGCTCGTGTGAGCCCAGCGGGCGGGGGCGCGCGAACGTCGCGGCCGCTGGCGAGGTCGGCGCCTCCGCGACCCGGACGCGGGCGGGCGGCGGGTGGTGCCCGGGCCCCGGCCCACGCCAGTGCTCATTTGCAGGCCTGGCGTGGCTGCCGAGACGCAGCAGCAGCTCGGCCGCAGAGGCGCCCGCCGCCAAGGCCGAGGCCGATCCGGCGCTGCGCTGGCTCCTGCTCGTCATCCCTGTCACCGCCTTCGGCCTGGGCACCTGGCAGGTAAAGGTGCCCCTGGACCCGGCGTGCCGCGGGGGCCCGCCGCCCGCCGCGGCTCACGCCTCGTCCGCAGGTCCGGCGCCGGGAGTGGAAACTGAAGCTCATCGCGGAGCTGGAGTCCCGGATCAGGGCCGAGCCCGTGCCTCTCCCCGCTGAGTGAGTCCCGGCGGGAGGCCTGGTCCTGCCTGAGCGGCGCGAGACGCCTGGCTACGGGGGGTGGGCGGTAGTGGCTTTCGTCCAACCGTATAACTGGAAAGGTGCTTTTTTCCCTCTTGCCAAAGCTACTCTGAACGTTTAATGGTGCTCACAGCCGAACGCTGAACCAGGGGTCACATACTGTGCCTGGCTCGTCCCCAGGGTGGACAGTGGCTCTACTGGTCTGAACGCGTACCCCAGCAGCCTCCCCTCTTCACACAGCCCACTGGAACTGCAGAGCCTGGAGTACAGGCCCGTGAGGGTCCGGGGCCGCTTTGACCACTCCAAGGAGCTCTACATGATGCCTCGCACCCTGGTGGACCCCGCGCGGGAGGCCCGGGAGGCCCGGAGGCTCTCCTCCTCTGCTGAGACTGGGGCTTACGTCGTCACCCCCTTCCACTGCACCGAGCTGGGGTGAGTGGGGAGCCCCTTAGTGTTGGGATCACAGCGGGGTTGGGCTTCCTGAATTGCATCCTTTGCTCCAGAATCACCATCCTGGTAAACAGAGGCTTCGTCCCCAGGAGGAAAGTGAACCCGGAGACTCGGCTGAAAGGCCAGGTAAAGGGATTGGGCCCTAGGGAAGCAAGGCCCCGCCCTCCCCAGGGGGGGTCATTGCACTCCACCTTACAGATTGAAGGAGAGCTGGACCTGGTTGGGGCAGTGAGGCTGACTGAAGTGAGGAAGCCTTTTGTTCCGGAGAACCTCCCAGAAAGAAACCAGTGGCACTACCGGGACGTGACAGCCATGGCACAGCACGCAGGCACAGAGCCCATCTTCATTGATGCTGACTTCCGTGAGTGTGCCCACACCCCCACCCCGGCCCGGCCCTCCAGGGTGGGCCTGAACCTTTATCCTCCACAGGGAGCACAGTGCCTGGAGGCCCCATTGGGGGGCAGACCAGAGTGACACTGAGGAATGAGCACCTGCAATACATCCTCACTTGGTGAGAGCCCACCCCAGACTGCCTCTCCCACCCTCATCCCATCTCCCTGCCCACTCCCCTGACACCTCCTTCCAATCCAAGGTATGGCCTTTGCGCTGCCACATCGTACCTGTGGTACCAGAAATTCCTACGTCGGGCGCCCGGTGTGTGATGGAGACCACTGAACAGCATATGCGGGGGAGCAGTAGGAACCCATCCCAAAAGACTCCAAAGGAACAGACAACAGCTGAAGAAAACTTTTATTATGATGTCTATGTACAGACTGGAGCATGGACCTCAGGGACCACAACTCAGCCCAATTTGGTGGCCAGTTCTTTAGCCTTTGCCTTTTCCAGTTTGGCAATGCGTGCCACAGACTTTGGACCCAAAATATTGCCGCCCCAGTGCCGCCGAATCTGTAAAGACGGGTGCAGTAGTCAGCTGGGCCTGGTAGGAGGGGTGGGGGCGCTACAGGGATGAACCCAGCCAGGATAGATCTTACCTCGTCATATCTGTCATTGTAGTTGGTCCTGATGGCTTCCACCAGCTTGGCCAGCGCTCCTTTGTCTTCCCTAATAGAAAGGAGAGGGGACAGTCACTGGCCAGCCTCCCCCCTGCCACAAGCAATAAATTCCACTTCATTTTGCCTCAGACATACTTTGACCACATAGACTATTCAGGTGAAGAAATTCTTGACCATCACAGGCAAAAAGGGTGGGGTACCTGAGTGTCCCCTTCGGGAGCTCGGGGCTACCCAGCACTTACGAGTTGACCTGTGTGAAAGCCACGGCGGTGCAGGTCTTCCTGTGGACCAGGCGGCCCAGGCGAGCCTTGCCCTTGATGATGCAGTAGGGCACCCCCATCTTCCGGCACAGCGCAGGCAGGAAGACCACCAGCTGGAAGATAGCACTGGCTCTAGAACCGACCTCGGCCAAAGCAAAGGCTCCGAGGCTGGGCTGGTGGCCCCTGCTCAGGGTTAAAAAGCTCATGTAGTTTTGCACTTCAAGGTAGGATTCAGTGAGAAAGTCACATCATTGCAAAGGCCACCGTGCAGAATCAGTGCCAGGGAACTCGGCAGAGCACCACGTACCTCAATGGGGTCCACGTCGTGCGCGATCACTACCAGCTGCGCCTTCTTGTTCTCCACGAGCGTGGTGACAGTGTTGACCCCTAAAACACACCAAGTTGGTCTCGCAGGCAACGAGGGATGGGGGCACCCCGAGCCCACAAGGTCCCCGGCGCGGGCCACTCACCAGCTCGCAGCACGGGGGGCCGCTTGGTGGGGACGTCGCCCTTGCCGGCCGCCTTCTTCTCGGCGCGGGCCAGCAGCCGCTGCTTCTTCTCCTGCTTCGTCTCGGGCCGGTACTTATGTGCCAGCTTGAGCAGCTGCGTGGCTGCAAAACGCGAAGGCCAGAGTCAGGGGAGCGGGAGCGGGAGCAGCCCGGCCGCCCCCCCACCCGGCCCCAGACGCACCCGTCTGCCGGTCCAGCGCCTGCGTGAACTGGTTGATGGCGGGGGGCACCTTGAGTCGCTTGTACAGGATGGCGCGCTGGCGCTGCAGGCGGATGTAGCGCGGCCACTTGACGAAGCGGGTCAGGTCCCGCTTGGGCTGGATGTCCTGGCCTGCGGGGGACGGAGTGGGCGGGGGTTAGGGGCGAGCAGGGGCGGGGGGGGGGGGCCGCGAAGAGGTGAGGAGGGGCGCGCGCATCAGCGATCTTGGTGGTCGTGAGTCGTCAGGGCGGCTCGGATAGCAAATATTCGTGCACATCATCTGCGCGCGCCGCCGCGGCCCCCGGCCCCGACCCCCGGCCCGCGCGCTCACCGATGCCGAAGTTCTTGGGCCGCTTTTCGAACAGGGGGTTCACCACCTTCTTGGCCTCCTGCTTCTTGACCACGGCAGGGGCCGGGGCCACCTTCTTCCCCTTGGCCTTCTTTCCCTTCGGCTGGGGGGAGAGACAGCGGCTGAGGCCGGGCCGCGTTGCGCCAGCAGCGGGGCCGCCAGCGGGCCCAGACCCCGCACTGCGGCGTCGCGCCCCCCATCTTCCTCCTCCCGTCAGCCCGGCCCCAGGGGGCCCCCCTGGCTCGGGACGGCGCGGACATCATCGCGCGGCCGCCGAGCGAGGAGGATGGCCGCGGATGGCGTCGGCCGCCGCGCCCCGGCACGCTCGTCACTCACCATCTTGGGCGGCTACAGAAGAGAAAGGCGAGCGGCTTGTGGGTAATAAGTAGGCGAGCGCGGGTATCGCGAGACCTGGCGCCCGGCGGGATCTCGCGCTTAAAGCGACAGGCGCGCGGCGCGCGCTGCGGGGGCGGGGCGTGCGCGCTCGGGCCGGCGCCTCTTCTCGCGGCCGCGCCCCGGGGGCCGGCGCGGCGGGCCATGGCCCAGCAGCGAGCGCTGCCGCAGAGCAAGGAGACGCTGCTGCAGTCGTACACCAAGCGCCTCAGGGACGACGCCAAGTCCATCATGGACAACTTCACCGAGATCATCAAGACCGCCAAGGTTGGCCGGGGCCGCGAGCCCAGAGCGCGACGCCGAGGCGGGCGGGTCGGCCCACCCTCTCGGCCGGCTGCCCCGGCAAGGCGCCTTGGGACACCCCCAGCGCCGGGCCCCTGGCCTTGGGGAGGGTCCTGCCCCAAAGAGCTGTAGCCGCGCTGTGCCTGGCGGTGGCCGGGCCTGCAGCTCCTGCCGCTGAATGGAGCTGGCGGACGGCCCTCCCCCACCCGCCACTGGCCCCAGGGGTGGGCGCTGGGGCCCCCTTAGGACAGAACGAGACGGGGACAGGGCCCCGCGGGTCTGGTTGGCCGGGGCAGGCGGGAGGTGGGCTCCCGGTGAGGGCAGCTGGCCCTGGCTCGGGCATCCGCAGACTGGCTTTCTTGCTCCTTCTGCAGATCGAGGATGAGACGCAGGTGTCCAGGGCTACCCAGGGGGAGCAGGACCACTACGAGATGCATGTCCGGGCCGCCAACATCGTGAGTCCAGGCCCTCCTGGTGGGTGGGGGGCAGGTAGCAGCGCATCTGTTCTCCGTATGCCGCGCAGGGGGGGCCCGCGCCCTGTGTCCCAGCTTCGTCCCTCATGCCTGTGCTATCTGCTGGCCGCAGGTCCGAGCCGGAGAGTCCCTGATGAAGCTTGTGTCCGACCTCAAGCAGTTCCTCATCCTCAACGACTTCCCCTCAGTGAACGAGTCAGTGGAGCAGCGGAACCAGCAGCTGCGGGCGCTGCAGGAGGACTGTGACCGGAAGCTCATCAGCCTGCGGGATGAGGTGTCCGTGGACCTGTACGAGCTGGAGGAGGAGTTTTACTCGTCCAGGTACAGATAGTGCTGGCCGGGCCCTGTGCGCGGCGCTTCATGGACCCACGTTCACCGCCAGCTCATCAGAACCTCGGGCGGGAGTCTGGGCTGGGGGGCCGCACTCTGCCCCTCGGCTGCCTACGATGAAACGTTCTGGGGATGCAGGTCCTCTTGGGCTGACGTGTGGGAGCAGGAGCAGGGCAGGAAGACAGGCATGAAAAGGGGGGAGCCAGAGCCCCACATTCCTGCCATGTCAGCCTGGTATTCAGAGCCGGCCCTAGGAAGCCACTGTGGGGGGTCTCTGAGGCTGCTGGGGGTGCAGGGCCCCCTAACAGGGCAGACACCCCCCGGGCGCACTGGGGTCTGTGACCCAGGGCTTGGTTTCTCTGTTCTGGATTGGATCCCTGTGTGGGGGTGTCTGGGGGAAGGGACAGGGCTGCCGTCCTGCTGAGATGTCTCCCGTGTCCCCTCGGGTTCCTGACATCAGGTGTGTGGAGCCTTGTCGACTTGATCTCTCCAGCCCCGTCCCGGTCCCTCCCATGTCCTTGAGGCTCGCTCCCCGGGAGGTTGTAGGATGGCCCTTCCCCCATCCTCTGCCGGGCTCCAGGGACTGCATTTGTGGTGAGGGGTCCCCCCATGCTCTCCTGCCTGCTTTCTGCTCCTCTACTCCTTGCTCTCTGGGGACGTTCTGCTGGGCTGTGGCCAAGGCATGGAGGAGGCCAGTCGAATGTAGGAAAAGGTCACTGCTTGAGTCTGCCCCACATCTTCTAGCAGCCTGAGGCCAGTGTTAGTGAGTGGGAAACTGAGGCCAGGGGCCAGGCAGGGCTGGACACAGTTCTGGGCACTGCAGGAAGGACAGTGGGGTGGGCTGTGCCAGGGTCACAGGGCTCCCCGTGCCTCTCGTAACTCGCTGCCGTCTGCTCTCCCCTGCTTCTGTCTCTGCCTGCTCCTGTCCCCGGGTTTCTGGTGGTGGAAAAGCTCGAGTGTTGGCGAAGCTAATGACCTGCCTCTGTGCCAAGCGTACTGGAGGCTGGACCACGACGCGGGCTCCCAGCTGGGGTCCCCAGAAGCCCTGCCCACCCCCACGCCTGCGGCCCCAGCCCCACGGAGCATGCCTGAGCCCCCGTCCCCGGGCCCTGGGTCTTAGGCCACCCGGTGCTTGCCTGGGGTCCCCAGGTTCTGCCTCCAACATGCCCCCACCTGCATGGGGAGCTGCGTGGTCTCCTTGGCAACCTCGGCAGCCCAGCTGGGACCCCGCAAGCTTGCTGAGAACTGATCGCCCAGCCGTCCCCTCCATTCCTCTGCCTGGCCAGCTGAAAGGAGACCCTGCTGGGAGTTGCCCTATGCCCCCAGACCCCAGGTCTGTGCCTTACACTGCCCAAGTGGGCCGGCAGCCCCTGAGCCCCACCCCACCCCATGCCTGTCTCCTGTGAAATAAAGCAGAGCTCCCCTTGTGTTGGCTGCCCCTCCTTGCTCCCGGGGCCACGGGGAAGCTGGGGACGTGGTGGATCTGGGGGTAGGACCATAGGGTCATCGCCTGCCACTGCTGGCCACGGGGGGGCTACCACAACCGCCTGCTATTGTAGGCCCGCTCCAGAGGCTGGGAAGGCACCCACCAGGGCAGGTGGCAGCAGTGGAACTGAGGCCCAGGTCCTGTGCAAGGAGGGGGCAGGATGAGGCCTCACTGTGTCAGGCCAAGACCCATGCTGGTTTCTGGGGTCTGAGCTTAAAGTGCTCACCGCAGGACTTGTCCCCGACCCCTGCAGGCCTGTGCCCACGGCACACCCAGTCCGGTGCCAGTGGGCTTAAACCCCCACCCGTCTCTGCCCTGGTTTCTCTCAGCATACCCCAGGTATAGAGTTGCCACCTGGGGGTCCCTGTTGCCCCGTGTCTTTCCTCACCCGCATCCACTTGCTCACTCACGCACCTGCTCGCTCTTGCTTGCTCAGTCACTCGCTGGGAGCCCCATCACATCCCCTCACTGAGTCCCGGGACCTCCTATCCATAGACTGGTGTGGGTGTGACATCCAGGGTCAACGCAGCTGTGGGGACGCCGGCCCTGCTGTCTGGGGCACCCCCCCCCAACCACCTGAAAGTTGGTCCAAACACAAAACCGTCAGCTTGATTCAGTGTGTTTATTTGTAGCTGTTCTGGAACATTCCTCTTAGGGGGAAGCAGACAGGAAAAGAGGGAAGTGGAATCACGTCATGAAAGGCCCAGGCGCATTTACAAAGGATGGCTTGAGGGCCAGAGTGATAGTCCAGTGGGAAGGGCACTTGCCTCAAACGTGGCCAACCTGAGGTTTGATCCCCAGTACCCCACATGGTCCAAGCCCACCAGGAGTGACCCCTGAGCTCCGCCTGGTGTGGGCAACCCCACAAAAAAACGTAGATTTGGATGAAACAACAGGTGGTTAGGACCCTGACAATGAACTTCTCCACAAGAAAGACCAGAACTGAGCTAATGAGTTTACAGTTGCTGGGGCCAAAAAGCCAGAACAGCAACTAAGGTGCTTGCCTTGCATGCAGCCAACCTGGGTTCAATCCCTGGTATCCCATATGGTGCCCTGAGCACTGCCAGGAGTGACTGCTGAGAACTTGGACAACCCTTGGGCATCTCCAGGTGTGGCCCCCCCAAACAAAAGAGTTAAATAGGATTTATAGTTGCCTGCCCAGAAAGGGCCCACTTTGTGGTGGGTACAGAAAGACTCTTGAGAGAAACCAGCAGGAACAAAAAATTCTAAACAAAAATGAAGGCAAGAGATAGTACAGCAAGTGGAGCGTGTGCCTTTACGCAGCCATCCCAAGTTCAATCCCTGCCGCCCCGTATGGTCTTTGTGCAGAGCCAGGAACAACCCCTGAGCACTGCCAAGTGTGGCCCATAAACAAAAAAATTTTGTTAAGAGTATTCCTTTCCTTGCCAACAACCAACACCTGAGCGGCAGGTTTTTAGTGCATAGAAAGCCGGAATGGGGCAGTTTGGGAAAAGCCCTAATAAAAGCAAGGGTGGGCATTCCCCATCCTGGGTTCATACGCATCTCCACTGGGGGTGGGTAGTTTCCTCCTTTGGCTTTAGGGGGTGCCCATGTTATCTCCTTTCAGCCAGAACCCCCCGCCTAAAAAAAGCCACTCTGCTACTGTCTCCGGAGATGGCTTTCTGCGAAGGTCGCCAACTAGCCCAGAAACCCCCGGCGGAGCCAGGACCCACTTTGCTTGCCCCGCAAAGAACCCCGGTGTCTCAGAGCCCGGGTGCACGCGCCGGGCCACAGCTTCCCGTGCCGCCCAGGCGAGGCCCGGGCAGGGCCGTGCAGTTTCCCTGCGCAGAACCGCAGGCACTTGCCGGCGGGAGGCGATGCGCCAGCCTAGAAGGGCTGCGGCATCAGCATGAGCCCGGGCACAACAAACGTCCCCGCTTCGAGCTGCTGCCTGGTCGGACGCGTTTGCAACCGGCAAAACGACTCAAACTCGCCTTAAGAAAACCACACGCGGCTTTCGGCTCCGGTCTCCCAGCCTGAGCCGTGAAGGCCCGACCCTACGGGGACACGGCCGGGCCGACGCGTGCTTCCGCTCGGCGTGCAGGGAGGTTCCTGACGGTCGCGTCCCTGTGCCCAGGGTCGGGCCGGCTCCCGCAGCGCCCCAGAATGCCTCGCGCCCGCGCGGCGGCTTCCGGGGAGGCAGGCCCGACGAATGGAGCGCCGAGCGCGAACGGCTCTAGCTCGATGGCGGCTCCAGCACCCGGGGAACTTCCGGCAGGCAGGCCCGACGAGTGGAGCGCCGAGCGCGACGGCTCTACGCTCGACGACGGCCGCGCCGGCACCAGGGGCTTCCGGGGAGGAGCTTCCGGGAGGCAGGCCCGACGAGTGGATCACCGAGCGCGAACGGCTCTATCTCGGCGGCGGCGCCTGCACCCGAGGGGCTTCCGGGGAGGGACTTCCGGCGCCCGGGGCTGGCGAGCGCGGGCGCTACCCCCGGCTCGGCCTCGGTCTCCATGGCCTCCCTCCTCGCCAAGGACGCCTACCTGCAGGGGCTGGCCCGGAGGATCTGCGCCCGGGAGCCTCGGGAGCGCCGGCGGGGTAAGGCGCAGGGACGCAGGGCGGGAGCACGGTGGCGAGCGACAGGGGAATCGGAAGGAAGGGGGCCCGGCACGTGCGGGCGGGGCAGGCGGGCGCCGGGCACAGCCGAGACCCGCCTGCCGGTCCTGTCTCTGGTTGCCTCCGTGGGAACACGCCGGCTGCTGCCCCCTGCGTCGGGTTTCCTTTTGGAGCGTGCGGCCGAAACGACAGTCCAGCGGGGAGGGCGCTGGCCTTGCACGCTGCGGACCCGGGTTCGATCTTATATATACTCCCCCGAACCCGCCAGGAGTGGCCCCTGAAGAATAAAAGAAGCACGTCTCTGCACCTCGCAATGCCAAGTGACTCGGTGCAGCGGCGGCCCAGCCACCCCCGAGGGCCAGTCCGGGACCCAGCGTGAGGCCCCGCGGCTGTCGGCCGGGTCAGCTGCGCCCGTGTCTGGGCTGCCTTCCTGAGGGGCCTCAGCTTTCCTTCCTAGAGTGTGCCTTTGCGAGACCCCCGGTGTTGCCGTTACGACCATTTCTCCTTTGGCATTGCAGCCGCCAAAGCCCGGGTCTCAGGAGCTGCGGGGGCCCCTACTAAGAAAAGGAAGAAAGCGCAGAAATCCTGGCAGCGGAGGGACAGGGCGGCGAGGCCCCAGGCACCGTCCCCGGGGCAGGAGGCTTCGGCCATTTCAGGGGCGCGGACAGCGGCAGCAGCCCAGCGAGATGCGTCCCCGTCCGCAGGAGCCGCTGCCGGTGAGGAGCTCCCGTCCGGGACGTTGCCTGGGTGTAGCCGCGGGAAGGACTGGGAACTGCCCTGCAGACCCAAGTGTGGCAGGGGGTCAGTCTGCACTTGGCGCTGGGCCCAGGAGTGGGGGTGGGGGGTGGCCCTCTCTTAATTCTCTGGCCTTGCAGGCGGCACAGCCTCAGAACCCCAGTCTCTCTTTGCCCTGGATGTCCTTCGACAGCGGCTGCACGAGAAGATCCAGCAGGCCCGGGGCCAGGTCGGTGGTGGAGACCAGGCGAACCGCAGGGATCTAGGAGGGACCACCAGGCTGCAGCTGGAACCTGCCCAGGGCAGCCTTCCTTGTTGCATCCACACGGGTGGGGGCATGTCTGACTCCTGAGCGTGTCCGTGGGTGGGAGAGGGCAGAGCCACCAGCAGTGTGCTTCCTGGGGGAGGCTCAGCCCTGCGAGAAGGGGCTTCCGGCGGCATTTGGGGAGCTGCCATGGTCGCTGGGTTCTGCTGGCCACTGGTGATGAGTGACAGCACATCCTTGTTGGGGACATTGGGAAGATGCAGTGAAGTGACTCGCGGGAGTCCCCGGGGGTCCCCGGCTGCCCTTGGGGGAGTGTGGAGTGGGACCGGCTGGTGCTAAAGGACTCACAAGAACCCTCTGAATCCTCTCTGGCAGGACCAGAAGGAGCTGTCAGCCGCAGCTCTGGAGAAGAGACGCCGGAGGAAGCAGGAGAGGGAGCGGAAGAAGAGGAAGCAGAAGGAACTGAGAGCGAGGGAGAAGGAGAAGGCAGCGGGGCCACAGGCGCCCTTGGAGGCCAGCACACCGCCTGCAGCCCCCGACACTCCTGGCCAGGAGGCCCAGGGTGGCTCGGGTCTGCTCTTCAATAAGGTGAGGGGCGGGCCATCCTGGGGCCGGTGGGGGGGGAATGACACCCTGAGCCCCACTCTGGTCCCTCCCAAGGTGGAGGTGGGCAGTGACGAGCCGCCCAGCAAGGCCCAGCGGCGCAAGGAGAAGCGGGCGCAGCTGAAAGGGAAGCTGACACCGCTCACCGGGCGCAACTACCGGCAGCTGCTGGAGCGGCTGCAGGCGCGGCGCGAGCGTGTGGAGGAGCTGCGGGAGCAGGACGCGGGGCGCGCGCAGGAGCTGCAGGCCCGCATGCAGTGGACCAACCTACTCTACAAGGCCGAGGGCGTCAAGATCCGCGACGATGAGCAGCGGCTGCAGGAGGCGCTGAAGCGCAAGCGGCAGAGGCGGGCGCAGCGGGAGCGCAAGTGGCAGAGCCGCACAGCCCGCGTGGTGCAGGGCATGCAGCAGCGCCAGGAGCGGCGGCGCCAGAGCCTGCGCCGCATGAAGGAGGCCCGCGCTGCGCGGCGCCTGGACAAGGCCCGCAAGAAGGGCCGCATCCTGCCGCAGGACCTGGAGCGCGCGGGCCTGGCCTGAGGCGGGCCCGGGCACGGTGTCACCATCCACAGTGGCCAGACCGACTTGCTCACATGCACCCCTCAGGGATCAGGGGGCGCCCCCCTCCCAGTCACCTGGTAAACTGAAGGGTGGCTCGCAGCTGAGGGGGAGGGTGGGCGAGATCGAGTTTGAGTAGGGGAGCGCACTGCTGGGTTGCAGCCCACTCCAGGGGTCCCAGAGCTGTGGTACAGGGTTTGTGGCTTCGTGTCTAACAAGCTTGAAACTGTTTTCCGGGTTTGATTGCAGGAAATGCCCCCGTGGGGTTTCAGGGCAAGAGCTGGGGTCTCCTCTGTGGTCCTCTGAGCCCTCGAGAGTGACCCCAGAGTGAAGAGCAAGCTTTGAGCACCACCACTCGGGCCAGGGACTCTGCCAGGCTCCTCTTGGGCTGCTGAGCACGGCAGGCCTTTGCTGCAGTGTTGTGGAGACTGGTGGCCTGGCTCCCGCGGCCTCCACCCACTCACCCAGTTTGCTCTCCACAGCTGGTCAGGCTTTACAGCTTGGCTTTGAAACGGAGGGACAGTCCACAGCCCTGCACCATGTGTGAGTAGCTGAGCCCTGGTCGGAGCTCTGGGCCGTTGTGACACTGGGCAGGCAGGGAGGCAGGAAGTGGGTTCAGGCCAGGGAAAGGTGCGACCTGCCAAGAGGCAGCCCCTAAGTCCCTCTGGGCATTGCCCCAAATCCAAACTGTTCCTGATTCTCCAGCTTTAGAAATTAAGTATTTAGAGTGTTGGACAGATCAGTCTATCTTGGAGGTAGTGAACATTGGAGTTCTTATGAAACAGTGCAGGAGGGGAACGACCCCTGCTGCACGGGGCCCCGAGGCTAGTCTGAATCTGAACCCTGGGGTCCCTGCAGAGTGCACTCCCCCCACCCCCCCCCCCCGGCCTGTTCACAGACCAGTGGCAGGGGGTGCAGGTCTGAGATCCTACTCCCTGAAGTGACTACAACCAGTACCCCTGTGCCTCACCTGGAGGCCAGTGCTCCTCTCCTGAGCTGGCCCAGAAGGCATCCTGGGCACTGCAGCCAGGGAGGTGGCCCCTGTGACTGAGGGCAGCAGTTCCCGTCCACCCTGATACTGCACTGGCCGGGTACCTGGCTCCATGAGTCCCCAAGGGGGTGGCCTTGTAAGGAAGACAAAGGGACAGAGAGATGACTCGGCGGTAGGGCAGAGTTCCCTTGCACACCATCCAGGTTTGATCCCCGGCACACTGTATGGTCCCCTGAGCTCAGACGGGTAAATCCAGAGCACCTGTGTCTTAACAGGAGGTGACAGGAGAAGCAAAATGACAAAAGCATAGCCAAACCTCTCCTGAAGGAGAGCTGGGCCAGGGTGGGGAAGCCAGTCCGCAGTGGGACCTAGAGGGGCGGAGCTGACCTGGCTTACTCTCCCGAGCCCTCCAGGAGTGATCCCTGAGCACCACAGGATGGCACCCCCAAACCAGACCTCGTGGTGGAAAGATGAGACCATAGGCCCAATCTGGGAAGACGACAGAGGCTGGGATGGAAGAACCTTCCAGAGATCAGTTTCTGCAGCCACACCTAGGTGGGGTAGATGAGGGACTGGGCTTAGCACTAGAGAGCTTGTCTGGCATGTGAGTTCTTGAGTGGGTCAGACCCCCTCCACCAGAAGAGAGGGTGTGTTTGGGCTGGAGAGACAGCTCTAAGGTTTGAGGATAGGCCCAGCATGCAAGAGCCCAGGTTTGTCCCTGATACCACCCTGAGTACTGGCAAGAATGCCCCAGATGTCAGGAAGAAGGTAGCGAGTGGTAGAAGGGTCCCATTTAGATCCTGGTCCTGGGCGGAAATGGTCATGATTCCCTTCTGCTTGGGAAAGCGATGCAAAGGAGAGACCGTCCTTCAGGCAGATGTCAGGCCTCCCCTGGGAACATGCCTTCCCAGAGCACCTGCGTGCCAACTGAAGGGAGCAAGGGCTGAGCAGGGTCAACAACCCCCCTCCCCAGGTCTCCCACCCCAGCATCCCAGGGCTGCCTGACCTCAGAAGGGAGTGTGGACAAAAAATTCCAGGGAGTTTCTTCATCTTGCAAGAACCTTTTTTGAAAACAAGTGATGTAGGAACAATCTGGAAGCTTTAGGGGAGGATGAGCCGGCCTGTGGAGCCTATGGGAGACTCAACTGCTCACTGCTGGGAAATGTGCTTCCTGGTTCCATCAGAGCTTCCAATGCACCAAAATGCTGCATGAGGCAATGTCAGCCACACGCTTCTCCAAGCTGGAACACAAACTGCCTCTCTGAGATCTGCTGACCCGGAAGGTGACAGGAGACACGTGCTGTTGGCGGGGAGGGAGGGAAATGCCGCAAGGGAAGCCATAACAGGATTGTAAAATGCATGACTTAAATTACAAAATGTCTTATTTTGGTTTTGGGGTCAGGGCTCTCTTGACTGCTCAGAGGTCGCCCCCTGGCAGGACTCAAATGATTAGGTTCTAGGGAAGGGACCCAGGTCAGCAGTGTGCCGTGCAACTGGTCAGACCTTCGTAAAAAATATAGGTAAACAAAAGCTGAGATGCAAGCGAGTGTCCACTATGACTGCCACCAGGGGAGGGGAGGGATAGCGCCTGGACGGAGGTGCCAGGGGGGTCCTGGGACAGCAGGAGGCGGTGCAACTGTCTCCGTGTAGCCCCCCCCCCCCCCCCCCCCCCCCCCGGAGTGACCCAGGCAGAAACAACGGTGGAAAGACCCGCTGCCTGGGAGGGCATGCCCGGGGTGGGCTGCGCTGCCCTGCATGGGGGCAGGCCCCGAGGGTGCTACACCAGGGCGTTTCCAGCGTCCCGTTCCAGGCGGCCTCCCGGACATGATTTTGGGGCGGGCGCGCGTGTGCAGGCACGTCCCCGCCGCGTGATCCGGAGTCCCTGGGGGCTGTGCGCAGGCCCATTCGAGGCGGCGGCTCCCGCCTCGTGGTTGCGGGGCACGGGTCCCACCGACCCCTCCCCGAGGGGCCCTGGGCAGCGCGTCGCCCCCTTTAGGAGCCATCAGGACCACTGTCGGCTGTGTCTTCAGTGGTCCGGGAGCGCCTGAGAAGGTCCTAGAAACCCAGTGTGTGCGTCCCGGATCCTCAGGGCCCCTCTTAGCACCAAGGGCCGCAGGGGCACAGGGTGAGTCCTCCTGAGTGCTCCTGAAGAGTGCTCCCAGCTTGGGTCTTTGTTCCCTGATACAGGAGGGATGTGGGGGGTGGGACCCCAGCGTCAGAGGCGCCTTCACCCAGGTAAGGGCCCATGGGCTGGGACGGCCAGGCTGTCATGCAGAGACTGGGCACAGAGAAAGTGGCGGCTTCCACACTCAGTGCCCAGGCCCATGGGCACTAAAAATGGTCAGTAGCCTCACACCCAGGGCCCAGCGTGGCTCTGGGTAGGGCAGGGCTCACGGGGGGGGGGGGGGGGGGGGGGTGGAGAGTGTGGCCAGGCGTTTCAGTGGGAAGTAGGAACGAGGCTTCTGCACCGCCTGTCACGGGTCTGGGGTGACCCCAGGACTCGCACCTGCGCTGTCACCGAACCTCCGGGGCCTCAGCGCACTGTCTCCTGGGGCTGCTGAGTGGTGGGATCAGAATCCCACCAGAACGTGGGGCTTGGGGGGGTCAGGTGCTTGCCTTGCAGGTGGTCAAACCAAGTTTGACCCCTGGAACCTCACTTGCTCCCCAAGCCTGTCAGGATAGCGCTGACATACAAGGTGGAGCTTGGGGGAGCTGCAGAGATGGCACAGCGGGCGGGGTTCTTGTGTGGCCACCCTGAGCTCTGTCCCTGGCACCTCAGAGCCCCTCAAGGCCTGCCGGGACTGACCCCTGTGCAGGGAGCCAGGAGTAAGCGCTGGCACCGCTGGGGGTAGTCCCAAAGTGGAGCTGGGGAGCCGTTAAGAAGGCCGCGTGGACCCAGTGACGGCTGATGAGCCTTGTCTTTGCTGTGATCTACACCCTGCCGGACCCGAAGGGGCTGCATTTGGGGCTCCAGTTGGGGCCCTGCAGGCAGCCCGGAGGGAAGGGGCCACTTTTCAGGCCCGGGCGAGGCGGGCGCTGGTAGAGGCTGGTGGGTTTCAGCTGCCCCTGCCGGAAGTCTCGTCTCGTGTGGGAGGAGGAAGCTTATCGCAGCAGCTTGCCCTCCCCCACGGTGGGGATCTGAACAAACAGGGAGGCATGAGCAGCGGCTCGGCCCTGGTCTCGGCGAGGCACAGGAGGAATGGAGCCTGCTCTGGCGCCGGCACTGCCGGGAGTTTAATGCGGCGTCAGGCGCCCTCGGTGTGCGCGGCCTCCCTGCCCAGCAGGCTCTTGAGGTGGCCGAGCACCAGCGCGTGCTGCGCCTCCACCCGGCCCGCTGGGCCGCCCAGCGTGGTGCAGGTGCGCAGCTGGTGGCCCAGCTCAGCGCGCAGGGCGGCGGGGGCGCCGGGCAGCAGGTACCCGCGCAGCAACTCGCACACCTTTGCCAGAGTGGGCTGCACCAGGTCGCCCTTGCACTGGCGCATGAGCTGGTCGCAGGGTGCGCGGCAGTCCCGCCCGTAGGTGCAGTCGGCGCTGCGCTCGCAGTGGCGGCCCTGCAGGAAACGCCGCACAGCCGCCTCAGGCACCACATGCCGCAGGTCAGCCACCCGGAAACCGTCACGGGCCGTGTAGCCCACGTTGGCCAGCGTGGTCTCACACATGTAGAAGGTCCCGTACGTGCCGTGGAAGAGCTCCTCCACGAACTCCAGCAGCCCCATGGCGATCTTGGCCCGCCACGGCCACGCTGGGCCCAGCCACCGCTGCACGGCCGGGGGCAGCGCAGGGGACAGTAGTGCGGGCCCCGAGCCGGGAGGGGCGCCCTCGGTTATGTACAGGTCCCCGCAGGAGCCCAGCAGCCGTGCAGCGTGGCCCTTCCGCAGTGCCAGCAGCAGCAGGAACTCGTTCTGCTGCAGCAGGGCCCACATGGACTTGGCCTCCGCCAGGGACACTCTGCTGTCGCGATCAAAGTCGGCCAGGAGCAGGACCTGGGCCACCAGCGCCGGCAGGGACGGCAAGTCCCCCAGGTTGGCCTGGGGTGGGAGAAAGAGACCGCCAGGGGACGCCTGTGTGGGATGGCTCCTGTTCCCACGGCCAGGCGAGCCCCCAGGACGCCTCATACTGACCTTGAGGAAGCTGAGGGTCATCTCCCGGAACTCTGAGATGGACGTGCCCCGGGCCGGCTTGTCAAAGAGCACCAGTTCCCGAGGAGCCGCACCTGCCCCGGCCTTGGCATGCAGGCGGGGCCCAAGGCCACACTTGATGGTCACTTCCTTGTCCTGCCACAGCCCACTGTACACCTGCAAACCCCACAGCTGACTGCTCGGCCCTGCCTGCCAGCCACCCACCCCACAACCCTGTCCCCCGCACGGCCTCACCTGGCGGTCCGGCTCTGAGGACAGACAGGTCCCCCACCGCACCTTGTGCCCGCTGCACAGGTCCTGGCACAGGGAGCCTGAGATGATGCCCTTGTGGTACTGGTCACACTGGGGGACAGAGGACACCCCGTCAGTCAGTGCTAGCCTGTCCCTGCAGCCAGCCACATTTCCGGAGGCTTGTTCCTGTCCCACTCAACACCCCCACCCACCCCTAGTGGCCACCCCACTGGTGCATCTGCTGCCAGGGCTGGAGCACACACGCACCCACACAGATGGGGCTGGGCCAACACAGACACACACAAAACACACACACTAGGGTGAGGCTGAGTGTTCAGACCAGAGCGCGCACAAATACACACACACAGTCAGGTGGGGCTGGGCCAGGCCACCTCACGCATGCACCCGCACATGCACGCAGGGCTGGGGGTGGGGCCAGAGCCCGCACGCACGGTGGGGGGCAGCTGTGGCAGGTGGGCTCCGGGCACTGGCTATGCATCCCCGGGTTGTGTCTAGCTGTGGCCCTGGGCTGGGTGACGGAGCCCCAGGAAACCGCTTCTGCCCGTGCTGTGCGGCCTTCCCAGAGCAGCTGGGGGCCTGGGGCTGCCACACCCAACCTGCTGGCTCAGTTCTCTCACTGGTGGCCTCCTGGGCCTCCCGATCCCCGACCACACAGGCCTTGGGAAAGGAGGGGCGTCCCCAGCACACCAGCGGCTCTCGAGAATGGCAGCCCGCCCCATTTCCCCAGCAGCTGCCCCCGCTCCGTCTACAGAGGGGCGGGGCCTCTGGCCTGGGGATACGGGCTGGACCTCCCTTATATGTGAGGCAGACCCTTCCCCAGGGAGCGCCACACACACACACACACACGAGACAGTGCTCAGGGCTTACTCCTGGGGGGACCCTAGGGGGGGCGCGCCATGCAGCCGCGTTCCTGCTGGGCTCTCAGACCATCAAGTGGCCGCGCCCACAGACGCTGCACTGACCACACGGCACACCACACACACACCGAGCACGCAGGTGGGCGCAGTGAACACAGATGAACGTGACAGCCAGTGCCACGAGCACACACCAGGACACATGCGGTCAGCTCTCACGCACACATTGGTGCCCTGCTCCAGGGGCCCCACGCTGGTGGCTGGCTCTGTGTCCCGCCCCCATGTCCCGCCCGAGGCCCCCCAGGGTTCAGCCCCCGCTTACAATGAGCGCCTGGCACACGTGGCCGCGGCAGAGGTCGGCGTAGGAGGAGAAGTGGACGTAGACCATCCAGCTGCCCGCGCAGACGCCCAGCCAGGCCAGAAGGACCAATTTGGGCCTGAAGCTCGGGAGCCGGCCCTGTGGGGGACCCAGTGAGGAGGGACAGAGCCGGGGCCACAGCCCCAGAGGTACAAGCTCCCCAGGGTTTGCAGCTGAGGTGAGAGACAGACCCCCCAGGACCGCGGCCGGAAGGCAAGGCACCTGGGACTACCTGCCGCCCCGTGGAGTTGGCCGCTGGCTGCCCACTGGCCTCCCAGGAGGGGCAGAAGCAGAGACCCCAAGGCGGGGGGGGCTATTTTCATCCAGCTCGCCGATAAGGACAAAGGAAAAGCAGAGATGGGGGGCAGGACAAGCTGGGGTGACCCCTGGGACATGCCTTTGGGGGGCCTTTCGGCTCAAAGAGGGTCCTGAAAGCTGGAGGTCCGGGGGTGAGCCAGGAGGTGGGTCCCCACCTGGGCCAGCCCGGTCGCGCACAGGCGCCTCCCTCAAGCCCCTGCCCCCGCTCAGTGGGGACGGACGGCGGGTCGCACGGGACGCCCCCGGCCCCGCGGCAGGGCCAGGCCCGATCGGCGCGCGGGGGTCTCGGCCGGCTGGCACCCAGAGGGCGTCCCCCGAGGCCGGCCTGGCCCGGCCCCCACCGCCAGCCGGGCCTCCGCGCCGGGGACGGCCTGGCCAAGGTCACCGGGGGTCGCGCATCCCCGGGCCGGGGCGCTGGCCCCGCGAACGGGCGCTCGTGACTCCCAACTTCCCACCAGAATAAGCCGTGGGGAGAGGCCGTCGGCAGCCCGCGCGCCCCCCGCCCACGCCGCGCGCGAGCCCGGGCGCCGCCTACCTGCAGCCCCTTGGACAAGCGGCAGAAGAGCACCAGGTGCGCCAGGCGCCGCAGCCGCCGCATGGTGCCCGCCCGGCCGCAGCGGGGCCCGCCGGCTCGGCCTCAGCCCGCGGGCCGGCCCGCTCGGCCCCGCGCCCGCCGCGCGCCCCCGCCGCGTGCGCGCGCCCGGCTCCGCGCCGCGGGGCACGGCGGGGGCGCGCGGGGCGGGCTGGGTGGGCCGGGCGTGAGGGGCGGGGCGTTGGCCGGGGGGGATGGGCGCGCGGGGCGGGGCGCGGGATGGGGATGGGGGCGCGGGCGGGGGAAGGCTAGGGCTCTCGGGGGCGCGCCCGGCGGCGGGGCGCAGGAGGGGCCTGGGCGCGGTGGCCCCTCCCTGCCCCTGCCCAGCCGGGCGGTGAGCGCTGGTGGGACCCGGGGCTCCCGGGGGGACACTGGGCGGGGGGCGCGCCTGTCCGGCGCCGGCTAGTACCGAGTGTGTCACTGCAGAGAGGACCGGCGGGTCCGTAGCCCGTCTCTGTCGGAGCCTGAGCGGGCGGGAGCGCGGGTCGCACACTTATTTGACCGATTTCCTCCTTTTCAGAAAAGAAAAAAAGATTAGACTCAGTTCCCCCTGGAAATCTGCCTTTAAGCCAACAAAATTGTCCACCAGTTGCTCCCCGGATTACAACTGCCACCTGACTCCTGCAGCCCCAGGGCCGGTGCTGTGACTCCCGGGCACCTGGTCCAGGAGGTGGGAGGTGAACAGTGAAACCGCGGGGGAGGCGGGCGGGGCTCAGGGGCAGCCAGCCCCCTCCAGCCTCCCTGCCTCCCGCTGGCCGGGGCGCTCCTGTCATGGTGCTCCAGCTGCAGAGCAGTGTGGCAGCCTGGGGAAGGGTCTGGAGAGCATGGCTCATGGGGGATATTCTGGAAGGAAAAAGGAGTGTCATTCCGACACCCCTTCCCACAGCTACCGTCCAGAAGGTTCTGTTCTCGAACACCCAGATTTTTCTATGGCCCAAACCCTCCCACAGTCCACCCTGGGATTCCTCTGCAGGCGTCTGTCGGCCCCGGGACCCCAAACGAACAGGGCACATCAGCCTACTAAGTGTGTCAGCCCCAGGACCAGCAACTGCAGGCCAAAAAGGTTTTGGTTTGGTTTGGTTTGGTTTTGGAGCCACACCAGGCTATGCTGGAGGCTTATTCCTGGCTCTGCACTCTTGGGCGTGCAGAATCACTCCTGGGATGCATGAGGCACTAGAGGGGGTGCCAGAGGTTGAACCCTGGTCGGCCGGTGCCCCAGTCAGCCACCTGCAAGGCAAACGCCTGCCCCACTAAACTATCCCTCCGCCCCGTGAAGTTCATTTTCTCCTGCTCGCAGAGCGCCACGGGGTGTGCTTGGCACCTGGCTCAGGGCATGTGCTGGCCCACGGCCCCACACCAAGCTGCAGCCTCTCCCCTTCTGCAGGAGTGAGTCCCAAACCAGGAAGTCAGGCAGGCACCCCTTCCCCAAGGTCCCATCTTCTGCTGCAGACACGGCCCCATCTCTGCTCTGGTGCCCCAGACCTCCCTCTTCATCTCTGCAACCTCCAGCCCCCGCTAAGCCGCCCTTTGACTCCACACCCACCCGCAAAGACCTGTTTTCCCAGGAGCTGCACACCAGGGTGCCCGGCTCCAAGGACAGATGGAGCTGTCCTGCTGGGGAGGAGTTCTCACCCCTTTCCCCAAAATGGATCTGGGGGCTGGGAGTGTGCAGGGGGTGCAGGAAGAAGGGGCCCAGGGAGAAGCGGCGAGGGTGGGATCTAGCCAGACAGCACAGTGCACCCCACGCTGCTCCGGGCCCCCCGCCCCCCCTGCTAGGAGTGACTCCTGAGCACAGATCCAGGGTCAGGCTCTGCACACCACAAGGGATGGCCCCCGAACAACAAAATCCAAACCATCCATTGGCTGGGATGTACCAACAAGAAGCAGTTTTCAGGGGCCTGAGTGGTAGTGTAGTGGGAAGGGCGTTTGCCATGCCCGCAGCTGATCTGATTCCGGAGTGCAGAGCCAGGAATAATTCCTAGTATTGCCAGGTGTGACTCAATAACTGAAAAAAAAAAACAAAACAAAGAAGAAGTTGTCTCCATGGGAGGGGGTGGTGTTTATCAGGCCCCGAGGGAGGCCCTGCAGCCCTGCCCCATCTCTCGGGTTCCCTCTCCGAGCACTTGGCACTGAGCAGAGAACTGGCATCCAAGGTCAGAGGGCATTGAGATACCAGAAGCATGGACGGAGACGCGTCAGGTGGGGGGTGGCCGGAGAGAGGAGTGGGGGGCTGTATACAGGCAGGGGCCCCTTTTGTTGGCTTGGTTTGGGGGCCATACCCAGCAGTGCTGAGGTTTGACTCCTGGCTCTGTGCTCAGGGATCAATCTGGACAGTCTCGAGGTGCCTGGGAGTCACTGGCTCCTTCCGCAGTGAGAACCCTCTGGCACCGGTGAAACAGCAGGGGGCTGGCACTGGGTGGGCTCTTACCTGGGAGCGCAGCTCCATCCCGGGGTGCCCAAGCACCATCAGGGGGTCCTGGGGGTCCCGCACGGCATCCTGGGCACCATGGACGCAAGCCAAGAGTTGCTGATGGGGCCCTGGGTCTCCCAAGCATTCCTGGGATACCCGCACCCAGTACAGGAAAGCCAGGTCCTCGAGCTTCTGGTCACTGTCCCCAGCAGCTGGTCACTGTCCCAGAATTCAGAATTTCTAGAACGGTTTCAGACGTTGGATTTACAGTATGCATAATGGTAGGATTTTGTGCAAAAACACATTCCAGCCCCCCCCCCTCCGGTGTGAGAGCTCCCCCCACCACCTACCCCCCAACTCCCACAGAGATCTGCTTCCTATTACAGATCAGTTTGGGGCTGCAGTGCTAGTGCAGCCTGAAGGCCCAGGTTCGACTTTCTGCATCCCATATGGCCCCCTGAACGCCAGGAGTTACCCTGGAGCATTGCCAGGTGTGATCCAAAACCCAAAAGCAAATAAAGACCAGCTCTTGCTTCCTCTTGCCTTAGAGTGTTTGTTGTTTCTTTACTAGAGTTCAGAAATTTTCCCCTGTTCATGTACATGTCATTTAATGAAACTACAAGAAATGGGGGTTATGATTTCCCTATTTGTTTGGGGGATCCACGTGGCCACTCAGGGGCGTTCCCTGGTGGGCCCCCAGGGATCAGACCCCTGCGCCTTGACCTCTGTCCCATTGCTCGCCCTTCCCTACTTTCTTTGGCTGCTTTTCTGGGTACAGTTAGGTCCGCCCCAGATTCGGGGCCACAAGCTCTGAGGGAAGAAGCTTGTGCTGTTGGCAATGGACAAATGTCCGAGCCCACGGGTGGAAGCTGAGGTTTAGGTGCGGGACCCAGCTCCGTGTCCTGTGTCTGCTTGGCCTCAGGGAGCCCTGGTGGCCCAGCCTGGTGACATCCTGGGCCAAAGCCGCCAGAGGGCCCCGGGCAGTGGGGACGGGTGGGCAGTTGGGGGCTCCCGCTGCTCTAGGTGGGGCGTCTGACCCCACCAGGAGCCACTTGCAGGGGCTTGAAGCTTCAGTGGCACAGGCGGAGGAGCTGGGACCCGTACCCCAGGGCGGCACCCTAGCTCTGAGACCCTTCGCCTCCCAGGACCAACAGGTCTGGGCTGTGCTGCATCTCGGCTCTCCTGGACACCCGGTCGCTGTGGCATGTGTCCACAAGAGGGCGCTGCTGCCCAGCGCTTGGCAGATGGGCCCAGAAGGCAGGGAAGGGGTGTGGGCTGGGGGCTACGGCAGGGAAGGGGCAGGAGGGTCCTGGACTGGGGGTTAGGGCCTTTGAGGAGGCGCCCTGGGAGTCGCAGCAGAGCTGTGGTCCCTGCACTTCCTGCCCCGTGCTGACCTCTGGCCCAGGAGTTCTGATTAGGGTTCCTGCTGGTGGAGGGGGCAGTCAGGTGGGCAGGGCAGAGGGCCCCGCCCAACCAACAGCTCACCAGAGGTCCAGGACCCACTTGACACCAAACTGTGTGGCCCCGGCCTCTGGCCTCCAGGTGGTGATGGGCGTGGTGTGGTCAAAGGCCCAACAACCAGCCCTGCGCCCAGAGGCCTTCCCAGGGCCAGGCTCTAGTTCCAGGGTCTTGGAAGCTCTCCATTAGGGCAGTGTATACCCTGCACAGCTGTACGGGGCACTGCCAACACCCCACCGGGCACCAGGTTTGCCCTGCGGCCTGGCCCCCTTCGGCACCTGTCCTGAGCAGCTACTTTTATGTCAGGGTGCCCAGGGCACAGGAGGTGGCACCAGGGATCAGCCGTTCCTTCCCTCCCTCCCGGCTGTGTGCAAACCTGCCAGGGCTGGCCTCAGGCAGGATGCCCCTTGGCGCCCCCAGCTGGCATCGTTCCCCCAGCCCAGGCAGCTGGTGAGTCACGCCACAGGGTGCCATCTGGGTCAGGGGTGAGGTGGCCCGCCCCCTTTCCCCTCCCAGCACCCTCAGCACCCCTGCACTGCTCCCCACACCCTCCCACTGCCCGGACTCCGTCCCCTTGTGCTGCTGGCCAAGGAGCCCGGGATATCCACTGTGGCTGCAGGGCCTGTGCTCCTGTCAGGGTCCTTCAGGGGAGGCCTCGGAGAGACACCGCTGCAGGAAGGTCCTTCAGCTTGTCACCCCAACTGCCACGAGGGTCCCCTGAGCATGGTGGCAACCCTACAGGGGTGGGCCCTCTGCACCCACACCTGACTTCTCCTGGGCCCTTGGCCCATCTCTGCCCTCAGCCCACAGCCCTGGAGGAGGGAAGAAAGCGCAGAAGCCTTGGGGTGCTGCTCTGTGCCCCACCTCCCCCACAGAGGCCTGAGGCCAGGGTGCCCTGGGGCAGGGTGAAGGAACCCACGTGAAGGCAGAGGCCTGGGAAGACGCAGAGACCCTTCACCTCCTTTGCAGGACCCGCAGAGCCCCAGGAGTCCAGAGGCTCAGCCCTACCCCTGCCCGCCCAGACCCGCCCTCCTCCCTTGAGGGACAGAGGTCTTAGGCAGGATGCCCCTTGGCGCCCCCAGCTGGCATCGCTCCCCCAGCCCAGGCAGCTGGTGAGTCACGGCACAGGGTGCCATCTGGGTCAGGCGTGACCTCATGAGATGGACACTTCTCCAAAGCTCCCAGTGGCCCACTGTATGAGCAGGGGACTGT